GACACTAACTATGCTATATACTAAGGGTAAAGACTACACAAAAAAAAACTACCAATGTCTTCTCTCACACAATTATTTCTTGTTGCAAACGAAATCAGTTTATAAAAAATCTGATGTGTCCAACACATGACTTTCCTATCTAGTTATTACAGGCTTTTTCCGTTTATTGTGTACAACCTATTGCAGAATCTCTATAAATGTTTAGAGGATAAACTAAATATATACATTGTCCACATGCATCTACCGCGAAACATTTTTCTATAGATATTCATTGAAAATGAAAACACTGAAAAATTTAAATTTAGCACTTTTCCTACAATTTTTCCATTACGGTCCATTTAAAAAAAATCATGTATGAACAAATATTATAGAGATCGATATCGCAAACAACTTTTATTTCAACAATTTTCATAAAAATCAGAATTTTGCACATTTTGTCAAATTTCTCGAATACGGACCATTTCAGGAAATTTTTACATAAAGCAAAAATTAAAGATAATAATATTAGAAGTAACTTTTATTTGAACAATTTTCTTCTCCAAACATAAATAACAGATATATTCCATAAAATATAAAAACGGCCTCCCATAAAGTACCCCCCCAGATGTTCCGACTTTGTCCAAAATCTAATCATTTCACGTCAGGCTGAAATAAAACTTAAGTTTAAAATTTATTGATTTTTTCTTTATCCGTTTTTGAGTTTTCTTCAAATTTCGAAATTTACACATTTTCTCAAATATCTCGAATACGGTCCATTTTAGAGAAATTATCTATGGGACAAAAATTATAGAGAATTATATTACAAACAACTTTTGTTTGAACAATTTTTATAAAAAAATAATTTTTTTTACATTTTGTCAAATTTCTCGAATACGGACCATTTTTGGAAAATTTTGTATAGATAATTATATTAGAAGTAACTTTTATTTGAAGAATTTTCTTCTCCAAACGTAAATAACAGATATATTCCATAAAATATAAAAATTACCACCTATAAAGTACCCCCCCAGATGTCCCGACTCTGCCCAAAATCTAATCAGCTCATTAGACGCTGGAATAAAGCTTAAGTTTGAAATTTGGTGTTTTTCCGTGTATCGGTTCATGAGTTATGCGTTATACAGACACACACACACACACACACACACACACACACACACACACACACACACACACACACACACACACACACACACACACACACACACACACACACACACACACACACACACACACACACACACACACACACACACACACACACACACACACACACACACACACACACACACACACACACACACACACACACACACACACACACACACACACACACACACACACACACACACACACACACACACACACACACACACACACACACACACACACACACACACACACACACACACACACACACACACACACACACACACACACACACACACACACACACACACACACACACACACACACACACACACACACACACACACACACACACACACACACACACACACACACACACACACACACACACACACACACACACACACACACACACACACACACACACACACACACACACACACACACACACACACACACACACACACACACACACACACACACACACACACACACACACACACACACACACACACACACACACACACACACACACACACACACACACACACACACACACACACACACACACACACACACACACACACACACACACACACACACACACACACACACACACACACACACACACACACACACACACACACACACACACACACACACACACACACACACACACACACACACACACACACACACACACACACACACACACACACACACACACACACACACACACACACACACACACACACACACACACACACACACACACACACACACACACACACACACACACACACACACACACACACACACACACACACACACACACACACACACACACACACACACACACACACACACACACACACACACACACACACACACACACACACACACACACACACACACACACACACACACACACACACACACACACACACACACACACACACACACACACACACACACACACACACACACACACACACACACACACACACACACACACACACACACACACACACACACACACACACACACACATCATCGCGAAAATAGTCAAAACGGATTCAGGGGACCTCAAAACGTAAAAATCCGTCGAAAACTCGAGGTGGAAAAAAATCATGATTCCTATACTTTCCTTATATCTGTATACAGATAGGAAAGTAAAAAAATCATGATTCCTATACTTTCCTTATATCTGTATACAGATAGGAAAGTAAAAAAATCATGATTCCTATACTTTCCTTATATCTGTATACAGATAGGAAAGTAAAAAAAAGGTTACTCACAGTTCTATCTTGAAATTGTCTATTTTTATCAGTATTTTAACTGTCTTCGTTCTATTTCTCTTCCGTTGGTTTCTCCATATGTCTCGCCGGAATACAATTCCCAATGTTTTTTCCCAACAATTTCATACCATGTACCTTACACATATTTGGTGATTTAAAATTTGTTTATTTCAGTATATCGATCTGCTTTGCCATTCCTCTTTTATGTTTAGAAAATTTAATCTTTTTTAATAATTCCCTGACATTTTTTTTTTTTAATTTCAAAAATTCACAATCCATCATACTCAAACCTAGAAACCACCCTTTTCTACCTACTTCCCCAAAGTCTTCACTTATGACTCTTATACCAATTTTAATATACAGGGTACATCTTCCCACATTATTTTTATTTATTAATGTTATTATTATATTATAGTTATTATTATTAGTAATGTTATTTTTTTTTTTTGGTGTGTCATCGGCTACCAGGGTTATTTCGCCTCGTGTTCTGTGTAGGCTTTGTTACTGTTTCCCAGCGCCACTTTAGGAACAGCACTGTTTTATTATATTTTAATATAGGGTGTTATTACAATATATTATCATTGAGTAAAGGAGTATAATTTCCTTACTCAATGATATTATACAAATCACAACGAACTACACAAAATGACATTATTAATAATTTAGCAATAAAAAAGTTAAGTACAATGATGACATTAAAAGTTGAGTTTCTCGAAATACTTTTTTTAAATTGTCTCAGTACCTACCTAGTATTTTTCTAGCACAATGATATTATATGAATGTGCATTGTGTGACATCTTATATTTTAGGAATAAAATGATATATTTTTTTCTGTTAACAATGATTCCAAGAACTTTTGAAAATATTATTAAAACGGCCTTTGCAAATATAATTCTCAATTAAGAGCTTTTGATCTAACATTAAATTTTTATTCTCCATAAGGTTACAGCTTCCTAAGAAGAAAGTTTAACAAGACTTACCAGACCCAAAATATCAAAATTTTACCAACCAATTGATGGTTCTACTGATTTCCATAGGAAAATTCTCCTCAAAACTACTAAAAGAAAAGTGGCAGAGGCAACCGAAGAAGGCAAAAAAGTCTTTTGCAAAACAAAAACTAGAAATTTGTTTAAGAATCTAATTATTGTTTGAAGTTTTACCATTAATAATTTTTGATAACGATTTAAGATTATGAAGTTCTATTATGTATTTTACTCTTTGATAACCTATGTTTAAATTTTTATTAGGACCAAAATAAATTATAATTTTCATTTCAACTACAAAAACCCTCATAATATTAAAAAGGGGAAAAACGTTAGATTAGTTATGTTCAGGAATAACCTCTTTAAACATTTATCTACTTAAAATGTGTTACTTTTAGAAGGTATGTTATTAACTTTCTATTTGTACTTGTATTAATTTATTTCATTTCATTATCTGTTGTATTTTCAAATTGATTTTGATATTAATCTTATCTATTTATATATTTTTTATATTCACATATATGTTTTTTTCATTGAAACAAACGTTTATTAGATTATTAAATATAATAAATTCAAGTTGTTTTCTTATATGCTTGTATGAATGATTACTTTTATTTCCTTTTAAAAATGAATTTCGAAGATAAAGCCGAAACGGTGAGTGAGAATAAAAAATTAGACGAAAGTGACGATATTTACTGGAGCTTTCATCTACACGCTCCTTTTTCTAGCCATCTACACCTGAGCCAGCAAAATTCGTCTTCCCTCCATCCTTACATTCTTCAGATTTACAGAGAAAACGCCGTCCTCTTTAACATATCCAGACCTTCTTTGACGGGGACTATACCACTACATTATCAGTTTTATTTGTTATCCCTAGCAATTTAAATGTATTTGTAATTGCTCATTCTCACCTCTTCTCTTGTAGATTCCGTACTCAGTTTTCTTATTTTTAGTTACGTTTGCACTGCTCTTTTATTTTCACAGCTTTAATTCTATAATGCTGTAACACTACAATATGGATTCATTTTTGTGGTTTATACTATTTAATGTTATTTGTAGGTGACCAACCTATTATAATAATTAAAGATTATTGTATTACAGGCCTGAAGATGTTCCTGTAAGGCCCAAACTAGTCGCTCCTGAATTTATTTATAATAAAATTGATTTAAAGGTTTTATTCTTCAATTGAGAAAATTAGACATTTACAGTGATTTTGTTTCACTTCCTGCATTAGACACTTATAAGACGGTATTCATTTTAAAAATAGTAAAATTAGCAAATTTTTTAGTTTTTTTCAACTAAAATGTTTGGACAGTGTGTGTTTTTATAGATAAATGATACGCCACTGAATAAGAAGGATGTTTACCTTCCTCCTTGTGCCCGCTTCCTCACTTCCTCTACAGATGTTGCTAACACTACAATCGCCTACAAACTCGTTTTCACGCTCCCTCTATTAGTAATTGCTCGGAGATTCCAAGGTCGTTTGGAATTCCTCCTTCCTGACTATATATATTCTAAGATCATGACCGTTACATATATTTGATTTGTTTATCTGACGGTTACACTTGTATGTTTGTCACCATGTCACTAGTACCCTCATTACTCACTTTTATTTTAGTCAAACTAACATTTAAAATAAAAAAATCTAAAAATTATTTGATAGTCTTTAAAATATACAATGATTTGCAATATAACATTAAATATTTTTTGCAACCATTTACACAATGGTTTTAAAACACGTAAAGTATATGGTAAAAAAATTGTGAATTCATAATAACTAAATAGATATAAAAGTTTATGATTTAATTTACAGATATGAAAATTGGAATTATTGGAGCTGGAGCAGCAGGTCTAGCAGCACTGAGGCATAGTAGAGACGCCCATCATGATTGCGAGATCTTTGAAAAAACAGGTTTAATAGGTGGGACATGGAATTATACAGATAGAACTGGAAAGGATGAATTTGGATTGCCTATTCATACAGCTATGTACAAAGGTTTAAGGTAACCTATATAAATTCCATACAAATTTGACGTAGTTCTTCCAAAACAAACCAATCCACTTTTTAGAAATACAATTTTCAGCATCAAAGTTTTAAAATCGTGCCTGTTGCTTTAAAAGGTAAATTTTCTTTGGTTCTTTACTGTTTTGTAGTAATAATTGATCGTTTAGATACATATAAAATGGTTAAACAGATATATAGTTTAAAATTGTGGATTGGTATCACTTTCTGCAGCACTACGTTCAATTTAAATCCATCATTCTATCATAAAAGATTCAAATAGTTCAATCTTAGGATTTACAAAGGACATTTCACACTTTTAATTGGTTTTTCACATCGATAGAATTTCTTGAAATTTTATGGGTATGTTAGTGGAGTCAACATACATTTTGTTTCATTACGCTATACCAAAAATTCACTTCAAAATCTTATATGCTTTTAAACTGAGCCAGTTTGAATTTTGAAAGCAAGAGATCCAAACCGCAATATTGGTGCGCTAATCAAAGAGAATGGCATAAAAACTGCAAACCTAGAATATAACATCAAATTTTTGGTGTCAACACATTTCAATGACTTGGTCATCACTAGACCTAGGAATATAGCACCCAAAAAGTAGTTAAATATGCGCATATATATGCCGCAAAATACTTCAATATATGCGTACAAAATTGAAAAATATGCAGAGCATATGCAATAAGAGTAATTTGTTATTTGATCGAAATAGTTTATTAATATTTATTATTTGTTTTATTTTATTTTACAATACCTAATATAATACTTAATAATTATTTAATTATTAACTAATTTTATTTACAAATCAACTTTATTATAAAACGAATGAACAATTAGATGTTTTTCTAAATTATCTGTATTAAATGATTGTTTCCTATCAGTATGTACTTGTACAAAGAAAAACTCCTTTCGACATCTTCAGAAGTAATAGGTGCAAACTTAAATTTTCCTGAAATATCTGGATAAATAGTACCTATTAATATCTTCAAAGTTACCAGAATAAATATTAACAAGGTTTCTTAAAATAATAAATCCTTCTTTTTTTAAAATTACATTTGAAAATTTATGAAAAATCGTCTTTCCAATATCGCCCTGGACATTTTTACACTCTGATTCAAACGTCTTAATTAAATTTACGGAAGTTACCGAAGGTAAATTTTTTTGTTCTAAATCTAATATAATTTTGGGTACAAATGCATAATTTTTTAAAAACACTAATTGCTTTGGTAATAGGTATATATTAGATATTCCCTTAGATAAATCATCAAAATCAAATATGATTTCTTTAATTTTTTCATAATTATCTACATAAAAAAGGCAGCTTTAAGCCAGGTACCCCACCGAGTAATCACAGGTTCCGGTGACATCTGTAATTCAGAAAATTTTTCTTTGTACAATTGAGTTCATAGAGGAGCTTTAAGAAATATTTTTTTACATTACTAATTAAATTATTTATTAAAGGAAAGTTAGACCTAATTTCTTTTGCAACTATGTTAAGGCCATGAGCCAAACATGTAACATGGATTAAGTTTTCATAAAACATTTTTAAATTTTGTGCGGCTTTTACCATGTCAGCATCGGATAACAGCAATAAACATTTTTCTGTTGGATGATCAATCTATATAACTGTCTATATCATTGACCCTGTCAAATCATAAAGCCCACAGTGTTGATATATCATAACCTATCATGTACCTGTCATTACTCACTGGCAACTACAGTTCATCAAATTTCTAGAGGCTTTCGACGGCTAGACAGAGAAAGCACTACTGACAGGCATCCCGACGGATTTACGCAATGAAAGTACACACTGCGCATCAAGTATTTCACTATTTCATTCAGACGTAAATGTCAGATGTAAATTTCGCTAAAACATTTCTTTTATTTTCGTTTGTGTTTTTTGCTCATTACAGTTTAATAGAACCTAAGTATGGAGTTTAATAGCAAATTAAGAGGCCGCGTGATTAACAGTCAATCTCGCGAAATAATAGCCAATGTTATAGAGTTTATGAGAAGAGAAGGAAACTTTAATTCACCTTCAATACCATTTAAAAATGTAAATGATTGTGTTGCTGCAGCCACAGGAGTATCTAAAAACACTGTCGTCCGCATTTCTGGAGAGAAAAAAAGAATCGATAACCGTGAGATATCGGAATTTTCATCACCAAGAAAAACCATTAAAAAACCAAAAACAGTTAATGATATAGATGAAGCTGCACAAGAATCAAATTTTATTTTTTTATTATTAGATAGCTATTTTTGTTTCTGAGTTGTGTTCATTTACAGGCTCAATTTTTTTCCGTTTCTCCTTTTTGATTTTATATGGGGTTTCAAGTTGTTTTTGACTTATTTCGACGTAAATCACAACAACACACTTTTTTAATAAAGCAAACAAGTGTTAAGAGGTATATGTACGTGTAAACTACAATTACAAAAAATTGTTATGAAACCCATGAAACCACCAACAAAAATGTACTAGAACATGGTGTCATTCGTCGAGATAATTTATCGTTTTGTTTAATAGATCAAGAAATGTAAATATTCCCCTGTTATTTTTTATAAAATTATAAGAGAAATAAATTTTTTTCTAAATAATATAGTTTATTTTGTAGAAAAACAAAATTTCGAAAATTTTAGTAATGTTTCAGAAACAACCGTTATTAATAATAGGTACCATTTTCCTTAATAAGGTAGAAATAAAATATAAACTATTTCCACGATTTACAAAGGCCTACAAAAAAATTATAGGTATTTTCCGCTATCCTATAAAATTTATATTTTCTGACTCAATTTCAAAAGGTTGAAGGAATTCCAAAACACCTTTTATGGCATAATAATTATTTTCAATTCTACATACTATCTTTAGCTGCTTTTAAAAACGTTCTAAGAAAGTTCAATCAGACCAATTTAATCCCTAAACTATTCCACACTTTTAAAATTTAATTACCTAAAAATATTAAAAACTATTTAAAATAACTTGTTTAGCAGACTGTACAATAGCTATCTTAGTCACACGTAGCGCGTTCTCTGTCTGGGCGTCGAACACCTCTAGAAATTTGATGAACTGTATTTTGTTTGGAATGCCTAATTGTTGAAAGGATTGTTTATGGTTATAATTCGGTATTGATTAAACATAAGACTCTAATGCACAAAAAAGGCTTTCAAAATTATATTAGGGAAGTATATTTGCATTCCTAATGCCAGTTATTATCAGTATAATGTATTTTTTATCGTTGATACTGATACTTATACCACAGAACAAAGAACAATACAGAAAAGAAAGTAATGGTCGGAACTTTGAAGTTGAAAGGATAGAAATATTTGACCTTGAGTTCCACCACATAGATACTCTGAGAAAACGTAATTATTCACAATACACGCGAACGTAGCTATTCACTGAACATACACTGCGAAAACTACATTTCTCTTTTATATAATTATGTGTCATAAGGAAAGGAAGACAATTCTGTCTGGATAAAACGAGTTATTGTCAAGTTATTTGTTTTATCTAATTGCTTTGAAGCGATTAGATATGGACCAATTTGCATTTCTTCGCGTAATGAACCTATCATTAAATGAGTCTGTTGTTTCATCCACAATAATGTAGAAATGGTTTTCAACGGTAATCTCACGAGTCTCAATGTACAAACTGTCAACACCACGTTTGCGTAATATACTTTGATCTGGAATATTAAATTTACAGTATTTTTGCAAAAATGATCGGAGATTTGGATTATTTAATCGTATTAAAGGGATATTCGAAGTTACTAGAGCTTTGCATAAATCTTCATTAAAAATAGCTTGTTCACTTCTAGACGATCCAGATTCTAAATATTGTTTCAAGGGAAGTTGACTTTGTCTGCGAGTGTCTTTAGATTTCTGCTTTGCTATATGTGAGGGTGTTTTCGCGTGTTGATCGATTTGAAATTTTTTTTACATGGAATCTAAAACAATCTATATTAATTGATTTGGCAACAAGGCGGCGGACGTTGGCGGTGCATGCAGTACCGGAAAATTAGGATAAAAGTATTTAGGTAGTCATTTAAGTCGCTTAGGATGAAATTATTAAACAAACCTTATTCTTTTTAGTTCAAGTGTAGGTGTTTTCGTTTTGTATTTAGTTAATGTGTTTATATGAACTTTTGTGTGTAAGCTGAGTTATAATAGTTTGTCGTAAAAATGGGAAAACTTTCGGAAATTTTGAAAATGATATTTCCATTTCGACGGAAATCTATAAAATATCGTGCAAGATTACTTAAAAAAAGACACACACTATCACCTCTTATTCCAATCCAGTTCAGTTCTAAGCATAAAAGTCCAAATATATGGGAAATTAATATACTAAGTATGGAATAGAAAAAGAACCTTTAGCTTTAAAGCAATATTCACAAATTTAAATCGGATGTCCAATAAATGTGGTTTATTTGTGGATTCTGAATTTGATTTTTTAGGTCCCGACGGTTTATTAGGAACCGACAGTATTTTCGAAATTAAATATCCTGCTACGGAAAAAGCAATGGTTTGCAACATAATAAAATTTGCAATTATTAATGATAATGACAAAATGCAATTAAACCGAAATCATAATTGTTATTATTACCAGATTCAGGGGCAACTTCACGTAACTAAACGAAATATTTGTTTTTTTATTATTTGGATACCTTTAGGTATGTTAGTAGAAAAAATAAAAAAAGATGATTTTGGTGTATATGGAAACCAAACTAAAGTAATTTTATTTAGATTGTATACTTCCAGAGATATTAAATCCACGTTTCACTAGAGGATTAGATATTAGAAATCTCAGTAGAAATCCGAGTAGAAATCCGACCAATAGTCAATAAAATTGATTATTTTTATTTCTTCTTTTACTAATAATAAATCATTTTACTGAATGTTATTTTTATATATTTTTAGTATGTACTAGAAAACAATTTTTTATACACCCAAATGGATATTAGCTTATCTACGTACAGACTACAAAACGAAAAAATATCCTATTTCGTAAAATAAGTTATACTTGTGTAGAATCGATAAATAATAGCATTTCTATTTGATCTATATTTAGAAATAAATAATTATAAATTTTAATAAAACTATATGAAATACACAAACTACTATTTTCTACACCCACATGGATAATTTTTTCTATACCCACATGGATATTAGCTAATCTACGCACATACTACAAAACAAAAAAATATTCCATTGCGTTCAACTGAACGAATATATTTCATATCCATTCTACCTAGTAAGAACACTGCAAAACAGTTAAATCCACCAATCGGTTATATTTTTGTCACCTGACTACTATTATTTTTTAAATTTTATGTAAGTAACAATTCTGTCAAATTAACTGTCAGTATATTTTTGAATTATTGAGATTAAATATACGTAAAAATGCATATTTCTTATGTATAATCGATAAGTAATGGCATTTCTATTTTTATTTCGTCCAAATTTACAAACAAATCTTAAATTTTAATCAAACTATATGAAACTAATTTAATTACAAGTATTAGAACTAAAATGGCAAATGTGGCGATGGCGTGAGACACGGAGTTTGTCTCCAAGCGAGAGTCCCGGGTTCAAATCAGGGCTGGGGACTAATTAAATTAAATCTTTTTGTATGATTATTTTATTTTATAAATTAGTAAAGTCATACATTATTTTAAAATGATTTATTTTGCCTAAATAAAATACTTTTTTAAATTTGTAAAATTTCGTTAGTGTGTCGTAGAAAAAAATATACTGTACAACTCGTGGATTGTCCGTATCGCACTCAGACGATTAAGCACTCCGTCTACGGAATCGTTCTCAAACTTCGTCATCGTGCAATATGGCCATCATATCCAATTTTGTTGCACAAACTACTATTCACGCACAGACTACAAAACGAAAAAATATACTATTGCGTTCAACTTAACGAATATATTTCATATCCATTCTAGGTAGTGAGAACACTGCAAAAAAAAATGAAATCCACCAAATCACAGTTTATATATTGGACACCAACTATTATTATTTTTAAAATTTTAAATAGGTGACAATTCTGTCAAACTAATTGTCAGTATCTTTTTTAGGTTTTGAAATTAAATATACATTAAAATGAGTTATTTTTGTGTAGAATCCATAAATAATTTTAATTTATTTTTATTTGGACTACATTTTAAAAAATCTTAAATTTGAATCAAACTATATGAAACTAATTTAATTACTACTATTAGAACTAAAATTCTAAATGTGGAGGTGAAAATGAGGATACGGCATCTGTCTTTCACGCGAGAGGCCTGAGTTCAAATCTGGGCTGGGGACTAATAAAATGAAATATTTTTTCATGTTTATTTTATTTCACAAATTAGTAAAGTCATAATTTATATTAAAATTAGTTATTTTGTCTTTTCCTAAAATAATACTTTAAATTTGTAGATTTTCGTTAGTGGGCGTAGAAAACATACTGTACAACTCCAGTGGATTGTCCACTGTTGTTGCACAAACTAGTATTAAATGGATTATTATTTAAAAAACGTATTTTTATACAGGGTATTTGTAAATAAGTACGAAATATTTTTGCAAATTGTTATCAAAATTATTTTGTTAAAAAAAGTTCCTCTAAAAGTTCCGGGATACAGAATGTTTAAATTGTAATTTATTAAATTTTATTAATTATTTTAAATAGTTTTAAAGATATTTACACTAAATTTTCAAAAAAACTTTGAAGGGACAAATGTGTATTTTTTGGGGTGTTCCAAATATTTCTACTTGCACCAGTTGCGTTTGTGCGAGAATGCCACTTTTTTGATCTATGTTTTTTTATATAATAACTTCGGCAAACATTCCCTAAAATCATTCACACTTACCAACAAACACCCTTGATATAGAAAAAAGGTAGATATGTTTCCGAAATATTCATAGGAAATACATATGTATATTTAAAAATATATTTCGTAAATAAATTATTTAGTTAGAAAAAAGAGTTTCGAAAATGTTACACCAGGTTATACCTTTAAAAAATATTTGAAACGAGAAAACAAAACAGAAATACTCTTTGTTAGACCGGACCTGCGATTTATTGGCCTTTTTTATATTTTAAATCATCTATAGTTTATAAGTAATAAATTGAAGAGAGCGTAAGTCTGAGAATAGAGCAACGTTGCCAAAGTGCGTTCAGATGCACTGAAAATTGTCAGTGTGTTCTAAACCTGAATTTGCTCTTGGTGTCGCATGGATATCGCTCTTAATACAACTACCTGAAAGGATATTTAGCAAAATTTGTTGGTTTAAGGAGGGTGTTTATAAGTTAATCCTCTCAAGTACCTACACCATTAACCATAATTTATTACAGGGAAAAGTTAATCTTTCAAAATTTTAGGAAATCGACCTGTAAAGGCATTTCACAAAATATTATTTTGGTCCAAAACTCATAATTTTAATATGTCCAGCCAATTAATACGTCAGATATATGCCAGAAAATTAACAAAATGTCAATATATGCATTCAAAATCAAAAATTGTATATATATATGCAACATATGCAAAATATGGCGTTTTGCATATATTCCTAGCTCTAGTCATCACATAACAGACGTGGTCGATTGTGGGCAGAGTAAGAATACAACCCATCTGTCATCAATTGGTAAACTACCAAACATTGTAGACGATGATAAAATTATATGGGCAATAACAAGCTTCTCTCCATTTAAATCTCCAGGACCTGATTGTATTTATCCATCCCTGAATGAAAATGTATTATTATTGGATTATTGAAGAAATTATAAATATTAATTTTTTATTTCAGGACAAATATTCCTAAAGAAATAATGCAATTCGAAGACTTTGCATTTCAAACACCCGAAGATTCCTATGTCAAACAATCGGATGTTTTAAAGTACATCAATGATTTCGCAACACATTTTAATTTGCTACCTCACATTAAGGTTGGTTAATGTAATGTTTTTATAAATAAGGGTTCCCTGTAATTATTTACAATACTTTAATTACACTAATTTGTATATTTAACATAAATAATTTAGTATTTTTTTTGTGTTTATTGCTCGACTTCTGCCTTGGCTACGCGCCATTTGCCAACAACCTTCTTTCCGGGCACTTGACATCAACTGTCTGTCATCACGTTCACTTAGTATTACTATACCACGGTTAATAAATATTATTTATATGGAAATATCAAACTAACATTTTTTTCCAGTTTTTCAAGAATATAACCAAAATCTGCCCACTTGAAAAAGGACGTTGGTCCGTGGAGGTAAGAGATCTTAAATTAAAATCATTAGAGATCAAAGAATTTGATGCTATTTTTGTCTGTGTTGGAAATTACTCAGTTCCTTCGATGCCGACATTTCCAGGAATAGAAAACTTTCAAGGAACGGCAATTCACAGTTGTTGCTTCCGAAATGCAGACAATTTCAAAAATCGAAAAGTACTGATTGTAGGCTCTGGTCCATCTGGAAGAGATATTGCTACACTAATACAAGAAGTTTCTGAAAACGTAAGGATTACCTTTAATTAGTTGTATTATTTAAAAAAAAAGTCTTTAAAGGATTTGCGGTCGAATTCTGTACTGCGGGACTGCTTAACCAGTAGTGCCTGTAGTCAAATATTTGGTAAAATAATCTGCTCACCAAAATGATTATCGATCCGTTGAATTTGCTATTTGCTACTCACGGAGTTCTTAGCGTAAAATAATTTATATCTGCTTGTCCTCGCAGCGACACTATCAATGAAACCAGCCATTGGCTCTAGCTGCAGCTTCAAACTAGAGTCGATACATTTCCCATGTTATCTAACCGTCAAACGTGGATGGCTTAATGGTCTTGCTAGTATGGCTTTGTGACACTGGATATGGTTCGGTTATAGATGAGGACGAGGTAGTGTTCGCAGTTTCTAGGCTACGAATTCTTCTTTCTAACTCAGCTGTTTCAGTTCTAATTTGCCTTTCCAACTCTGCGGTAGCCTTTTCATGTTGACGCTCTAAACTAGCTCTTATATTATTTTGTTGTTGCTCTAAATTAGCTTCTAACTTATCTTGGTGTTGCTCTAGAACAGTGGTCGCCAACCTGTCGATCGCGAGCTACCGGTAGCTCGCGGAGGCAATTCTGGTAGCTCTCACAACGATTTTAATTTAAAAAATACAAACTGCAAAAATCAGAGAAGCTTCCGAAAATTCCACAAACAAATCTAATAATATTAAACATAAACAGCGGCAACGTTGCGGTGAGCGATCTGCCGCTGACGCCATCAAGCTAGAATCGGCTAGAACCGGCCAGCCGGAACAGCGCGTTAGTGTTCGAGAACCATCAGGATTGCTTTGAACGGGATAAATACGCACGGCGCGGCGACATTGCGCTTGGTTTAAAACTGAACGCGTAACCAACGTCCAGTGGTTGGGTTAGTAGGGAACAACAAAAAATAATATTATGGCAAGCAGTTGTAAGAAGGTAAAGACATACCACTTTCATTCGGAATGGGAAGAACAATACTTTTTTACAGAAGTTAAAGATAAAAATGTGTGTTTGTTATGTAATACTTCGGTCTCCGTTGCTAAAAAAGGAAATTTTGAGAGACATCATAAAACTGTACATTCTAATTTTGAAAAATCATTCCCACTACATTCCGCCGCCAGAAAGGAGAAACTGAAACAGTTAAAAAAGCAGTTAATTGGACAACAATCAATATTTTTAAGAACAGTCGACAAAAATAAGGCTGCAACTGAAGCATCGTACCGTGTGTCCCAGATAATTGCACAAAAAAAGAAACCTTATGAAGACGGGGAAATGATAAAACAGGCGTTTTTAGAAGCTGCTGATTCGTTATTTGCCAACTTTAGAAATAAAGACGAGATAGTTACAGCTATAAAATCTATGCAACTTTCTGCTAATACAGTGATGAGACGTCTAGAAGTAATGAGCAATGATATATTTTTACAGTTAAGAACTGACTTAGATAACTGTGTTTATTTTTCACTTCAACTGGATGAATCAACAGATGTCGTTGACACTGCCCAGATGGCTGTGTTCGTCAGGATGGTTTTTAATGATTTTACGATTAAAGAAGATCTTTTGAAGTTTATTCCACTGAAAGGACACACTACTGGACAGGAGTTGTTTTCTCATTTAAAAAATATTATTTCTTCCGAGAAAATTCCAATATCGAAAATAGTAGGCTTGACAACCGATGGCGCTCCAGCTATGGTGGGTTTAATAAGGGTCTGGTGGCGTTATGTCGTAAAGATTAAACTTTTTCGCAATTTCTCTGTTACCACTGCATTATCCATCAGCAAGCATTATGTGGAAATTTCCTGAAACTAAACAACGTTATGAAACTTGTGGTAAAAATTGTGAACAAGATTAGAGCTCAAGCGTTACAGAGAAGATTATTCAAAACCTTGGCCGATGAAGTTGACTGTCAATACAGGGACCTACTCCTTCACTCTGAAGTCCGATGGTTAAGTAGAGGACGGGTGCTGAAACGTTTTAATGATGTCCTATCTGGCATAGTTAAATTTTTCAAACAATGCGATGAACCGACTCCGGAACTAGAAAATTCAATCTGGCTTAGAGATTTTGATTTTCTCGTGGACATTACAGAGAAATTAAACGAACTTAATTTGCAGCTTCAGGGGAGAGACAAAGAACTAGCGGAAATAATTTCTGATATAAAAGCATTTATCAAAAAGCTGGAGTTTTGGGAACAAAACCTAATTAACAGCGATGCCAAGCATTTTCCTATTCTTTCAGAAAAAATATCTCAAAATCCATTAGAACCCTATGACAGCAAATATCATATAGAAATAGTTTCTACCCTGAAGAATAACTTCAAAAATCGTTTTAAGGATTTCAACGAAATGGCTTTAGTAGCGCAGTTTGTTGTTTCACCCTTTATGGAAATTGATATCCAACAGTTTGCAACTTGTGTTATGCAGAACTTTGGCGAAAACATCGCTGCAACAGAAATGGAAGTAATTGAGTTTCAAAATGATTTAGCCTTAAAATCGTTAGTCTCAAGTATCAAATGTATCTGGCCTATTGTAAGTAAAGACAAATATTCAGTTCTATGCCGTGTTGCCTTGAAAGTGAAAGTATTATTCAGTTCAACCTATTTGTGTGAATCTTCTTTTTCCAATATGAAGTTTATTAAGAACAAATATCGCAATCGACTTACAGATGAACATTTGGATAATTGTATTCGAATGACTGTATCAAATTATACTGCAAACATTAAAAAAATTATCGATGAGTCTGAGTGTCAGCCTTCTCATTGAACGTGCTTTTTTATTTTTCAATGTTTATGTTCATGATAGTGCGTTACTTTTTTGTTGTTATTATTGTGGCTGGATAAAAGTTTGTGTTTATTTTTCACACACCTTCGTTTGATAGGTGGGAATGTAGCTATGAACAAGTACGTACTAGTAATATTAGTTATTTTGTTATTAGTTTATTATTAGTACCTATGTATTACCAGTTAAATAGTAAAATAAATACATATAATGATAAATTAACTGTGGATTATTTCATTTACGTTGCGTTACGTGGCTTCCGTGTGGATAGCTCGCTGTTTATTCCAAAATTAACAAATTGAGAGGTTGGCGACCACTGCTCTAGAAGATCTATTCGACTGTGAAGCTAACCTATTTCTTGTCTGAAGTTTTATTGAATTTGTAGCAAGCCAATTATAATTTGTACCACTGCTTTTCTATGCCTCTCCTCCTTTTACTTTTTTCCTCCTCTCGTCCTTCCTACACCTTTCCTTTTCATCCTCTTCTCTCTTAACTACGTCTTTTCCTTTCCTTATCTTCCTCCTTTTCCTCTTCTCGTCTTACTCTATCCTCTTCTTCCTTTCTTCCTTCCTTCCTTCTTTCCTACGCATTTCCCTTTCCTATTCTTCGTTATATGCAAAATTTAGTCTGTAAGTCTGGTATATTTGCAGATCTGTAAAGTTACAGACGCGCATAATCTGTAATCTCATCCTTGGTAGCCCTAAAACCTCGTGTGCAAGTAAAATCGTTTTGATAAAATTCTATTTGCAGCTCTTGTCGATACTATGAAATACGCTAAGACTAAATTTTAAGATATAAAAATGGTCATGAACAAATGAATTATAAAATTGCACTTTCTGAAATAATCAATGTGTTAAAAATTAAATAATTCTCAATTGAAGAGGTCCATTCTTTTATTTCATTTATAACTAACTATCTGCAGGTAATTCTTTGTCACAGGAGTCCTCTGAATCCAAAGGATATGATACCAACGAACATTAAGAAGAAACCTGAAATTCAGAAATTTAAGGAGCACTCGGTTGTATTTAAAGATGGATCAGAAGAAATTATTGATGACGTGATATTTTGCACTGGTGAGTAAAGCGATGTACTTTAGTAAGTGTTATACAAATTTTTCAATCAAAAATAATACCATGAGTGAATATTTCTATTATTTTTCAATTAATTTCAAACTTTTTTATTTATTATGCAAAGCATTAAAAAGGATTAGCATTTATCAAAATTTATTTTTAAGATATCCTATTATTTTTTCCATGTCAAAAATTCCTTCAATTTTCTCGAAAACGGTTGCTTTAAGCGACTTGCAATAAGAGTAACTTTTTTACGGAAAAAAGGTAGTTTTTAAAAAATAGACCCACGTTGTAAAAAAATCAACCCCTAAAAAGTTAACGGAATCGACCCCTTACCCTTGCAAGAACTACCCTTTCTGATTAAATAAGTAATTTTTCGATATTACCATTGGATTCAGCAGTAAATTTTATGTCAACAGGGATTTTTTTCGAAGTTTTATCGTGTTTTTTAAGCTTACAATTTCAAAAAAACCACTTTCCAAGTTTGCCCTTTTGACGCCCCTAAATCCCTTAATGATCCATAGTTATAGGAAGTTTTTTTTACTAGTTTTAGGAGTACTATCACCTCCCGAATTTTTTTACACTATTTCAATGACACCCTGTATAAATATATAAATATTGAAAAGTGGAGATACCGAAAATGTTACTAATTACAGGCCTATCTCGTTATTGCCTCCATGCTGACAAGAGAGATGAAATGTCAAATTTTTTTCCCATCACATTATATTTTTTAGGTTATCTCTACTCGTATCCATTTCTTTCAAACGATTGCGAAATCAAAATCGAAAATAGATGGGTGAAATATCTGTACAAACAAGTTATCAACATAAATCACCCGACAATGGCATTTATTGGTGTTCCTTTTGGAATATTTCCGTTTGTTATTTTTGGAGTTCAGGTAAGTATAGTCCTTCTACAGTTATACAAATAATATTATGGTTTCGTACTTTGTTACGCGCTTTTTTTGACATTTGTCAATTACAAGATAGTTTAACTTACGACCACGGTGTAACTATAGGTCCCCTAGTGTATTTATGGCAAAACATTTTTATTCAACGGTTTCTCGACTGGTTTTTTCTAGCTTTTAAGATTCTTCTTAGAGATATTTCCCGAACCCATTCACGAGTGTCTGTTAGAATACACAAAAGAATGTTTTCGGGGTGTATAAAATACGCGTTTCTTTGGATTACTGTGTCCCTAATAATTTTTAAATCATCTCTTAAATACCGTGACAATTCAATCGTTTTAAATACATGCAAACCACCTGAGAACCATCTATTTCTTGCTGTGTCCTAATAAGCAAGATCAAAGGTAGGGTGTTGAAATTAGATTTCTATCTCTGCAGTCTTTCCTTTGGTGGTATTAATCAAAAGAGTAGTCGTTTTCCGAAGGGTCACGGTCGCTTCTATTTTATATGACATATGACTTTGCGTTTTATTTATTTTAACTAATTTACCTAACCTGAAGACACCGCGAGTTACTATAAATGACTGTAGGTCGCTTAGGTTAGATAAATTAGTTAAGTTTTTTTAATTTTATTTATAATACTGGAATATTTTGTCTCACGCTAAATTGACTCATTTCAGTTTGACAAGGCACTAACTTGTCTCACTATAATTTGACCCGGGTACTTATAATTTGTCTCTCATTTTTCTAGTGCAAAGAATTGTGCCGCGCTAAAATGGATCGAATCCGAAAATATTTAAGCACGTTTGGTCCAAACCTTGTTTTGGTTCAAGATTCCCACTAAAGCACAAACATTTATTTATCAAGTAATAGTAGTTTTCTTTTTTTCTTAGATTCGGTTCTTTCTGGCATATTTGGCAGGAAAACTGTTAAAAAGCAAAGAAAAAATGATGGAAGATCTCTTAATCTACATGAATAAAAGAAAAGAGCTAGGAATACCAGATACCAAGGCGCATTTTTTAGGTGTTACACAGGGTGAATACATGGATGATTTAGCAGAAACAGCTAATATTAAGAAAGTGCCTGACGTTTTTATAAAGATATATAAATACGTACATGGAGAAGGAAAAGGAAACAGAAATTTGTCGTTTAAAATAATTAATAACAACGAATTTAAAATAGTAAATCAAAATGCAGAACTTTTGTAAAATTAAGAAATAAAGATATAATTACGTTTTAATTATTTTTTGGTCCTTATTCTATTTGGCTAATTTTAAAGTTAATTTTTACTTTTTAGTAAGCAGTAAAGTATATAATGATTGTTTTAAAACAATATATTCAGAGACGGTCCTGTGCTCGAAGCGCAGGTGTTTTGTTATGAACGTCTGTAAACAAACGTTACGTGATCACAATCTCGTTCAACTTTTGATAAACTACAAATCCAATCTTGATCTTTTGGCGTCATCAAAATTCGTTGATTTTATAAATTACAAAAAACTAATTGTGCCTTCTATTAATACAACACAAAAATCAGTTTGGTGTGAAATAGGCATAAAAACGTTAAATTAATGAGAACTTTACATCACATTGTTACATTGTAACTCTCATTTTTACTCTTGTTTTCATCTGTAGGACGGACTCATAACCGTCTAAGCCCAGAGTAGTGACGTTCACTTCTGTGATGAAACAATGTAGACGTTGCGGTGATATTACAGCGCTACTTTATTACGTTATTCAACGTTATTGGAAGTTCCCAAAAATGATATCTTTTAAACAAACAAGATGTGACATTCCTGTTATATCCAAGAAAGTCTTTTTACTTCTTGTAGATGTTATTATAAAAGCCCATAAAATAAAAAATCATATTAATGAACCAAATGTGACGTTCCTAATATGATAACCGTTCATACCTCAGGTGAGTTCGGGCTACGCACTCTTTTCACTATATTCACTCCTAAAGTACCTAAAGCGTTCGGAAAAGAAAGGAGTTAAAATAAAAGTTCCTTTTTGACCGTTCGGAGATCGTGGAGTGGAGTGATTTAAAACGATAATAAGATAATTGTGACTAACTCTTAATTAAAAAAGCTTTTTATTTGGTTCCCGTGCATACCATTAATATGAAAGAAACTTATAGCGTTGTTACTGATAAGTACGACTAGTTTTTAAGTATTAGTATGTCACAATGACAATTGACATTAAACCCTGAGAGTAAAAAGAGTAAAACCATATGCGCACTCCATTTACGCCTACTTACTCCATTCTGGAGTGGCGCAGCCCGAACTCACCTCTCATACCATTATCCTTCCTCCATGCTCATACCTTTTTATTTTTATCTGTTTTATAAATTTTATATGGACCATGTTATATAAATATTTTAATGACATATTTAACACTGAGCATCCTCCATAATAAAGTACTACCGGTTACGTAGGTAGCAAACGATCATTAGCATCTCCATCTATGAACGCGGGACGAATTGTTAGGTCTGCAGGGTCTGCGATGTAAAGACTAAAGATAGCCATCTTAAAGATGTGTAACTTGTACACATTACTGTGCTAACATGTATGCGATATTATTGTAAGATATACTGTTACGAATAAATATAACACCCTGTGAATAAGTATGTTATGATTTGTAAAGTTTTGTCCAAGGGCAAGCGCGCCAAACACATATTCAATAAAATAATAAAACGTGTAGTTGGACAAGGTTTTATTAAATCATAATATTAAATTACATGGTCAAAAAAACACTCTTGAGACTTTTCAAGTGGATATTCGGGGAGTTCCTTTTGGCCTACGTTGACGATCGGTGGAGTTTATTTGAATAAAGGATATTCCTTTTTTTGTGTCTAAAAGAAGAATCACGGGTCGGTCACGCGAAATCGCGGTTAGTTTTTTTGTAAAGCCACACAGTGGGAAAAGTAACCTGTGTCTCAGCCAGCCCTCCAGCCTAAAGGATTATAATATAATGTTCATGTAAGTAAATAGTTTTAAGTAGTAATATTTAATTTTGTGTAGTCAGCAGAGACTACTGAATTGCTGAAGCAATAATAGTTGTTTCTATATTTGTACTTAGTTTTATATTTTTCGTTAGAAGTTTTACAGTGTATTTTATTCTTTGGACACAAGCTAGCTTCATGTTCTTCACTACAGATGTGGCACACGATTGCATTCTTACAGTTTTCTTTTTTATGATAGAAACCTTGACATTTAAAACATCTGGGTATCTCCAAATCTTCATAAACCGGAAGTTTTTCTCATCCTATACATAGTTTTTTCCTTTGTATCAATTGTTTGAATACAGTTCCTGAACATTCACATTATACAGTATTAAAGCCTTTCTTCGTTTTTCTGATATATGTGGTTTTTATTTCACCTGTTATGTCATTCTGTTTCACAATGAACTTGTCAATTTCTTTCTTGGTCATATCTCCGTAAAATTGCAGATTTTCATTCTGGGTCTTCTCATTTTTGTCAGATCTACATCATATGAATTTTTTAATTTATCTTGAATAGCTTTTTCCAGAATTTCAGCTTCTTTTTTTGTTTGACAGGACAGTATAACGGAACCATTCTTTACCATCTTTAATTGTTTCACTCCAAATTTTAAGTCAGTTAGGTAAATATTTATTCCTAAATCTGTTTTTGTTTTGTTTCCACTCTGTGGTATTTTCGGTTTAATAATAATTTTTGGAGGGTTAGGTTTTCGTTCATTGTCTTCTTTTTGTAACTTCACCATATCAGCATAAGAAATGGTAGGTACAATATTTATCTCTTTTTCTTCAAATTCTTTAATTTTCTCTTGAAGCATTTTTATTATTTCATCTTATCTTCATTAGTCTTCTTTAGAAAATCAGTCAGTTCACAATTGTGGTACAACTACACCTAATTTCTGTGGTTGATAATTCAGAACATTGGTTGCAGTATAATCTTCTGCATCCATCACATGTAGAGCATGGATATTTTTGTTCTTTTGTAGGCTGATGAATAATCTCACACTGTGAGCATTTCATTGCCATTTTCTTATTAGCCTGAATATTATTTTTATATTGTTGTCCCCTAATTCGTGACATATTGATTTCTACACTTGTCATGTTACCTATTTTATTTCCTTACACAATTCAATCAACACAGATATTCTTATGTGTGAACTTGCCACGTTACGTGTTGAATAGAGAGAGATAAAATATAAGAATCGCAGTCTGGCGAATGATGAAAGGTGTCTCGACTTATGCTGTATTGAAAGATAAGAATCCCGCTGCAGTCAAATACTAGGTACCTAACATATTATGCGTTGCGTTTGTTATATACGTGCACGGTGACAACGAAAATATGAGCCATTGCCAGTTGTGTTAGTTCTGTAATTTTACCGTATACAGCGTTGTCAAACTGTGGCACACAGTACCTATTTAACGAAATATTTGTAATGCATGTATTAAGCGTTGTTGATTAAGTCTTAAATGCCTTGCTCCCCCAAACGACGCCGATGGAGATATCTATGTTTTTATTTGGTTTAAGAACAAGACAAATGATTATATTTTTGAATATATCAGAATATTCTTGCTTTAACCACTAATTATTAAAAAACTATTTAAATATTTTTTTCCTACTTTGGGAAGATTGTACAAAATTTTATGTGAATCCATCCAGTCCTGGGGCAGAATTTTTGTTCTTTTTTAAAGCTAAAATTAGTTCTTTATGAGTAAATGGAATAGATAAAGAAATTGAATTGGAAATAAATTGAAAAACGTTATTATAACAACTAAAAAGGTTACTAGGAACAGATGGGGGAGCTAGTTTATCCAAAATATTTTCAATTAGTTATTTGCCTAAAGGGCGCCTTTTTTTCTGGGGATATTTATTAGTGATAGATCTAATAAGGTGCCAGATTTCAGATATACGAGTACTCTTATTTAATTTATTTAGGAAAGACCTCCAACTAATTCTTTGTTTTGATTTGAACGACTGTTTAGTCCTAGCACCAATATTTTAATAGTGTAGATAAGAGTTGTAAAACGTATCGTCCATCTATCTACCTGCTGTTAGTTCACTGTATTAACTTAATATTTCCCGTTTTTTACTTTCCTATCTGTATACAGATATAAGGAAAGTATAGGAATCATGATTTTTTTCGACCTCGAGTTTTCGACGGATTTTTACGTTTTGAGGTCCCCTGAATCCGTTTTTGACTATTTTCGCGATGATGTCGTGTGTGTGTGTGTGTGTGTGTCTGTGTGTGTGTCTGTGGCTGTGTCTGTGTGTGTGGGTGCGTGTGTGTGTGTGTGTGGGTGTGTGGGTGTGTAGGTGTGCGTGCGTGGGTGTGTAGGTGTGCGTGCGTGTGTAGGTGTGTGTGTGTGTGTGTCTGTGTGTGTGTCTGTGTGTGTGTGTGTGTGTATGTGTGTGTATGTGTATGTGTGTGTATGTGTGTCTGTATAACGCATAACTCATGAACCGATACACAGAAAAACACCAAATTTTAAACTTAAGCTTTGTTTCAGCGTCCAATGAGCTGATTAGATTTTGGGCAGAGTCGGAACATCTGGGGGGGTACTTTATGGGAGGCCGTTTTTATATTTTATGGAATATATCTGTTATTTATGTTTGGAGAACAAAATTGTTCAAATAAAAGTTACTTCTAATATTATTATCTATAATTTTTGCTTTATGTCAAAATTTCCTGAAATGGTCCGTATTCGAGAAATTTGACAAAATGTGCAAAATTCTGATTTTTATGAAAATTGTTTGCGATATCGATTTCTATAATTTTTGTTCATATATGATTTTTCTAAAATGGACCGTAATGGAAAAGTGCTAAATTTAAATTTTTCAGTATTTTCGTTTTTAATGAATATCTATAGAAAAATGTTTCGAGGTAAATGTATGTGTAAAATGTATATATTTAGTTTATCCTCTAAACATTTATAGAGATGCTGCAATAGGTTGTACAAAATAACCGGAAAATGCCTATAATAACTAGATAGGAAAGTCATGTGTTGGACACATCAGATTTTTTTTTAATAATTAAGTCTTCGCCAATAATTGACTAGAAATTCTAGACGTAATCTATTAATAGATTTCTTTGAATTCTCAGTGAACTGCTTACTTGCGTTGGAAATTAATTTCTAATTCGAGAGACGCTAAAATGGTGGTTCCCACCTTATCGAGACTGAGGCCCACAAGGGTGAACCTGTATCGTAAAAAAAAACGGGAAATGATTTAACTTGGAGCGAAAGACCGAAAGTCGATAATAGTATTAGGACGTTGATTTTTTTGGTTCGTGAAGTTGGCATTACTTAAGTTAATCCAAGTGATGATTTTCACAAGCCTTGATTTTAAAAATCATTCTATATCGCCTTTTGATTAGGTTTTACAAACTTGTTCGAGCAATTTATCTAATAACAATTGGCCCCTTTACCTCTTAAGCCTGCTCAAGTAAAATATTTGGGCTCCTAACTTCGCCTATTTATATTCTATTAATAAAGAACAGAAGGATAAGTATTGCAAATATGTTAAAAGAAATAATTTGGCTTTCAGTTCAGAATTATGTTCAGTACATGACTGATGTTTATTTATAAAATAAAAATCTGATGTGTCCAACACATGACTTTCCTATCTAGGTATTACAGGCTTTTTCCGGTTATTTTGTACAACCTATTGCAGCATCTCTATAAATGTTTAGAGGATAAACTAAATATATACATTGTCCACATACATACATCTACCGCGAAACATTTTTCTATAGATATTCATTGAAAATGAAAATACTGAAAAATTTAAATTTGGCACTTTTCCTACAATTTTTCCATTACGGTCCATTTTAAAAAAATCATGTATAAACAAATATTATAGAGATCGATATCGCAAACAACTTTTATTTCAACAATATTCATAAAAATCAGAATTTTGCACATTTTGTCAAATTTTTCGAATACGGACCATTTCAGGAAATTTTTAAATAAAGCAAAAATTATAGATAATAATATTAGAAGTAACTTTTATTTGAACAATTTTTTTCTTCAAACATAAATAACAGATATATTCCATAAAATATAAAAACGGCCTCCCATAAAGTACCCCCCCAGATGTTCCGACTTTGTCCAAAATCTAATCATTTCACGTCAGGCCGAAATAAAACTTAAGTTTAAAATTTAATGTTTTTTTCTTTATCCATTTTTGAGTTTTCTTCAAATTTCGAAATTTACACATTTTCTCAAATATCTCGAATACGGTCCATTTTAGAGAAATTATCTATAGGATAAAAATTATAGAGAATTATATTACAAACAACTTTTGTTTGAACAATTTTTATAAAAAAAAATATTTTTTTACATTTTGTCAAATTTCGCGAATACGGACCATTTTAGGAAAATTTTGTATATAACAAAAATTATAGATAATAAAATAAGAAGTAACTTTCATTTGAAGAATTTTCTTCCCCAAACGTAAATAACAGATATATTCCATAAAATATAAAAATGACCACCTATAAAGTACCCCCCCAGATGTTCCGACTCTGCCCAAAATCTAATCAGCTCATTAGACGTTGGAACAAAGCTTAAGTTTGAAATTTGGTGTTTTTCCGTGTATCGGTTCATGAGTTATGCGTTATACACACACACACACACACACACACACACACACACACACACACACACACACACACACACACACACACACACACACACACACACACACACACACACACACACACACACACACACACACACACACACACACACACACACACACACACACACACACACACACACACACACACACACACACACACACACACACACACACACACACACACACACACACACACACACACACACACACACACACACACACACACACACACACACACACACACACACACACACACACACACACACACACACACACACACACACACACACACACACACACACACACACACACACACACACACACACACACACCACACACACACACACACACACACACACACACACACACACACACACACACACACACACACACACACACACACACACACACACACACACACACACACACACACACACACACACACACACACACACACACACACACACACACACACACACACACACACACACACACACACACACACACACACACACACACACACCACACACACACACACACACACACACACACACACACACACACACACACACACACACACACACACACACACACACACACACACACACACACACACACACACACACACACACACACACACACACACACACACACACACACACACACACACACACACACACACACACACACACACACACACACACACACACACACACACACACACACACACACACACACACACACACACACACACACACACACACACACACACACACACACACACACACACACACACACACACACACACACACACACACACACACACACACACACACACACACACACACACACTCACAACACACACACACACACACCACACACACACACACACACACACACACACACACACACACACACACACACACACACACACACACACACACACACACACCACACACACACACACACACACACACACACACACACACACACACACACACACACACACACACACACACACACACACACACACACACACACACACACACACACACACACACACACACACACACACACACACACACACACACACACACACACACACACACACACACCACACACACACACACACACACACACACACACACACACACACACACACACACACACACACACACACACACACAGACATCATCGCGAAAATAGTCAAAACGGATTCAGGGGACCTCAAAACGTAAAAATCCGTCGAAAACTCGAGGTCGAAAAAAAATCATGATTCCTATACTTTCCTTATATCTGTATACAGATAGGAAAGTAAAAATGACATAGTACCTACCATCGCATCAGATCTATTAGAAAAAATTCAATATAATTCGCATTAACTATAATACAAGAAACCAATCTGACTTCCATCATCAAGCCATCACTAAAAGAGACCAGTAGGTCTCGATATTTTTTATCAAACCATAAATATATGCTCACTAGTAAGCGGCTGAACTAATAATGTCATCAAAAAAACAAAAGCAACTCGAGAAAAACAACACAAGCAAAATCTCTACCAAGCGAGCGACAAATCCCGTCCAGACTAAATCAAGCATTCCTTTGATGTATCGCTCAAGGAGCGAACGCAACCGAACCGCAACGCCAATCTTGGGATCAATTGGGCTCTGTTCGTCGCGCCCTACACACCGACACCAACAACATGTGCCTTGGTTTGCGTTGGAATCTCGGTCTGTACGCGGCTTAAGAATCTGCTTATACAGTGTGGAAACCACTTATGGAATAAAATTCTTTATGTCATTATTTTAGAAAATTGTAAAAAATGCCGAGACACGTCAACTTTTGAATTGAGTTGTGCGTTATGTAAACATAAATTTAAATGTACAGGGTGATTCACGCAAGTATGCCATAGTCGGTGTTTTTTTTAAGTATGAAGGTCGCAACCCGCCTTAGAAATCTCATCTTTACAATTAACAGCTCTTGTTTGACAGGTCGTTGGAGAATGTTTGCAATGTATGGAATGTTAGACGTTAGGAATGATTGGAATTTGTAAAATTAGTCACATAAGAAATGCATAGGTAGATTTTAAGAAAATTGATATTAAAGTAGTTAGGATGAACTGAAAATTCTGAAAATCAAAAGGGTTCTAAGTTAGAAGCAATTATTCAAGAAAAGTCAATCATAACTTTCGTTCTATACATATACACAGACGACTAGACGAATTTTTTTTTGCATTTTCGGACTCTGAATAATCGGAAACGTGAAAAAAAAAATTAAAAAATGGCGGTAAGAACATTTTTTCGTCTGCACGAATGCAATACTGAAGCCCCATAGGAAGGGTTTCAGTAATTAGGCTGTAAAAACTAAAACATTTTTTTTTTGCAATAAAACAAATCTTAGAAACACAACAATTTTAATTTATAAAAAAATATGAAAAAATAAATTCGTTTAAACATAAATAATATCAAATTTGTCTAAACATAAATTACATTAAATTCTTTAACTTTGGCAAATTAGTGAAATATTCATTAACAATGTTTTCCGAAACTTCTTCCAATTTCGAAGGTTTCCAAGCTGGTTTCTGATCTTTATCTATTAACAAGGCCCTCACGCCCTCGTAAAAATCTTTGTTTTTCATAAAATTCACGCACATGTTGTACTCCATTTTTAAACAATCTTGCAAGTTATAAGATTTTCCCAAATCTAACTCTTTCATTGAAACTTTAAGGCTGGTAGGCGACATTTTTTGTAATAAAGATAAAGTCTCTTGGGCCCACTTGCTATCATCTTTTTCTAATTTTGCTATAATTTCTTCTACAGTTCCTGAACCAAAAATAATCGTTTATTTTATCCATAACGCTGTTCAAAGAAAATTCGGGTGTATCCTGTTTGGAAAATTTGTTTAGAGTTTCTTGTACGTCAGATTCATTGGAACAGTTAAGCATGGCTTCCTCTAAATCTTTTAATCTATTACTGTCGACTAAATGAGTAGCTATTCCTGCTTTAAGAACATCTGGACCCTTCAATCGTTGTCCTGTTAAGGCTAAATATAATCCTAACTTCCCTGTTAATCTAGATAAAAAGTAGGATCCTCCAACGTCTACAAAATAAAAGCAACAGTAACTCAAGAATGTAATAATTTGGCAATTATTTTAATTAATCTAAAGATTTTACATAAAAATCTCATAAATATTTTCAAGTACTTTCCTTCATTTGACCTTAGAAATAATAAACAGTTATCATAGTATCAAGGTAAATAAAATATATGAGTTGATCAAAAATTTCAAAGAAAACACGTCTCAACCAATATTTAAATGATTTGGGAACACGGGGAAGAGACAGTTACTGAGTGGGCCGGGCGTTACGCTGAGTATAACTATAGATATACTATACAACCATTAGGGGTGATAGCGACATCATTAGCAGATTTTACAGGGAGAGATGTAGGAAGATATCTCGAAAAACTTGAAAACAAAGAGCAAAACTAGACAACTGGTCAGAAATAGATACATTAAAATTACAATTTACAGGAGCAGCACACCATAAAAGCAAGATTAATCAGTAAATTTTCAGCAAAAAGGTTACCAGGAAATAGTTTGCTGAAACTAAGCAATTGTTACCAACGACACGACGAAGAAGTCGCAAGTTTCTGCACAAGATTGAGGTTATTAGAGAACCAAGCACTTGAAGACGATGTAAATGGGACACTACCAAACGAAGTAGCTAGAATAAAGAAGAAAAAACAAGAATCTACTACTAAACCAATTTAAAATGGGTTTAAGGAAGGATCTACTAAAGGAAACAGGAGTTCTGCTACTAAAAGAAGAGGACTTGGACCTGGAGAAAGCAGAAGAAATAGTTTCACTACAGGAAACAACAATGTTACTTGTAATAGGAAAAAGTAACAGCCATAGGGTAGCATTTATGGAAGGATACAAGGAATGTCATTATTGCAGAAAACAAGGACACACAAAAGAACAGGAGACAGATCCTGTTTTTATTGCGGAAAAAGTGGACATTGGGTTAGAGACTGCAGAAGCAAGGCAGCTGAAGAAAATAGGAACAAATGGTAGGAAAAACATAAGTTTCAACCGATAAGGGACTTTTCGAGAGCGCCACAAGGACGAAATCTAGGATACGATATGGATAAATACAGAAGAAATAGAGGCAAAGACTCCAGAGATTCCAGAGATGCAAGAGATTTCAGTGTTGCCAGAGATTCAAGAAGATCCACAGATGCCAGAGAAGCCAGATATTCCAGAGATTTTAAAGATTCCAGAAATTCCAGAGATAACAAAACTCCAGAACAAGGCAATCGACAAGAAGGAAAACGAGAAAGCATCAATTATAGTTCCGATCATTTAAACTATAGTCTATTTTTATGTATAAGAGAGTATTAAAACAGCATTTCTAATGCAAAACTTAGTACGGTCATTTTAAATATTTTTACAGAATAATCTAAATATTTCCTAAAATTGTAATAAATGTACCTGAGCTATTACAAGTTTTGGGTCTTTTATTGGTCCTTTATAAACATAAGCTGTATAGAACAATAGAAAAAGGTTTGGACAGGCCAAAAGCCCTGTGTATTAAAGATTGCATAGCCGTATCTTAAGATTATTTTCAATAAGTACCTATTTCCCGAATTTATTTTATTTTAATTCCAAGAATTTCTTACAGTAATCGAATTATAAGTAGATAAATACCTTCCCAACAAATTTCACCGAAAATGCGATTATAGGTTTTCCATTTAGTAAGGAGGTCCAAGTTGTGTATTCTTGACAGTTTACTAAATGTCGTTTAGTTGCAACTTGCAAGGTGCAGTGTGAATTCTAGTGTGATCATGGAAAATTTGGAAGGGCCGCGTAAACGACAAAAAATCGGTCCTTTAACAGTTAATGAAAAAACATTAATATTTAATTGTTTTGAATCATTTACAGACAAACATTTATGTAAAAGTGTTGATGACACAGTGGAATTAGTTTTTTTTTTTGTTTTACACCCTTCAAACCTCCCGTGCTACACCCTAATCCGTCTGTAGTCTGGCAGCACTGCAGCCTGCGGCTTATTGTAATTATTGTACCACCATTTGAAGGTCCTACTACATTCCCATTCACACCCTCATTCATTCCACGTCGTCGATGGATAAACGCTAGTCGGATAAATCTCATGGTGACACGGCCCATGGTGGAACCTCCCAGCGGTCACCCATCCACGACGTGACCGGAGAGATCACTGCTTAACTGTTGCGAGCATGTGGATGCACACTAAGCTCGCGGCTAGCCTCTCCGTTTTTTTTTATTATTTTTCAGTGTTTTTTTAATGTTTTTTTTTTAGTTTTTTTACTGTTTTTTTTTTAATTTTTTATAGTGTTTTAGTGTTTTTTAATGTTTTTAGTGTTTTAGGGTTTTTTAATGTTTTTTAATATATTTTAGTGTTTTTTTTTTTAATGTTTTTTAGTGTTAAATGTTTTTAGTGCTTTTTAGTATTTTTTAGTATATTTAGTGTTTTTAGTGGTTTTTAGTTTTTTTTAGTTTTTTTTAGCGTTTTTTTTTAGTATTTTTTAGTATATTTAGTGTTTTTAGTTATTTTAGCGTTTTTTAGTGTTTTTTAGTGTTTTTTTTTTTGGTGTTTTTTAGTGTGTTTTTTTTAGTGTTTTTTAGTGTTTTTTTTAGTGTTTTTTAGTGTTTTTTTTTTAGTGTTTTTTAGTGTTTTTTTAGTTTTTTTTAGTGTTTTTTTAGTGTTTTTTAGTGTTTTTTAGTGTTTTTTAGTGTTTTTTAGTGTTTTTTTAGTATTTTTTGTGTTTTTTAGTGTTTTTTTAGTGTTTTTTTTTAGTGTTTTTAGTGTTTTCTTTAGTGTTTTTTTTAGTGTTTTTTAGTGTTTTTAGTGTTTTTTTTAGTGTTTTTTAGTGTTTTTTTTAGTGTTTTTAGTGTTTTTTTAGTGTTTTTTAGTGTTTCTTAGTGCTTTTTATTAGTTTTTAGTGTTTCTTGATGTTTTTAGGGTTTTTATTGTTTTTCAGTGTTTTTTTAAGTGTTTTTAGAGTTTTTAGTGTTTTTTTAGTGTTTTTAGTGGTTTTTAGTTTTTTTTAGTTTTTTTTAGCGTTTTTTTTAGTATTTTTTAGTATATTTAGTGTTTTTAGTTATTTTAGCGTTTTTTAGTGTTTTTTAGTGTTTTTTTTTGGTGTTTTTTAGTGTTTTTTAGTGTGTTTTTTTTAGTGTTTTTTTTTAGTGTTTTTTAGTGTTTTTTTAGTGTTTTTTTAGTGTTTTTTAGTGTTTTTTAGTGTTTTTTAGTGTTTTTTTAGTGTTTTTTTTTAGTGTTTTTTAGTGTTTTTTAGTGTTTTTTTAGTGTTTTTTAGTGTTTTTTTAGTGTTTTTTAGTGTTTTTTAGTATTTTTTAGTATTTTTTGTGTTTCTAGTGTTTTTTTAGTGTTTTTTTTTAGTGTTTTTTTTAGTGTTTTTAGTGTTTTCTTTAGTGTTTTTTTTTAGTGTTTTTAGTGTTTTTTTTTAGTGTTTTTTAGTGTTTTTTTTAGTGTTTTTAGTGTTTTTTTAGTGTTTTTTAGTGTTTCTTAGTGCTTTTTATTAGTTTTTAGTGTTTCTTGATGTTTTTAGGGTTTTTATTGTTTTTCAGTGTTTTTTTTAAGTGTTTTTAGAGTTTTTAGTGTTTTTTTAGTGTTTTTAGTGTTTTTTTTATTGTTTTTTAATGTTTTTGAGTGTTTATTGGTGGTTTTTTAGTTTTTTTTATTGTTTTTCAGTGTTTTTTTAATGTTTTTTTTTAAGTTTTTTAATTTTTTTTTTTAGTATTTTTTAGTTAGTGCAATTAGTTAGTAGTACGCTTGGTGTTGGGAAATCTACGATTTAGAGTTGTTAAAGAAGAGAAATGTGGCGAGATTTAAACAGCACGTAAAGCTCCAGGAAAACCAAAATTTCAATTAGAAAATCTTTTGAAAGAAAGACTTCGAAGGAAAGTGCATGCGTTCTTCTTTAGAAAACAATTTCCGACAGTAGACAAAGTTCTTGCCACGGTTCGAGATGATAAGGATTGCCCTGAAATGAGTCGAAGCACACTATGGAAACTTTTAAAAGAAATAGGTTTTCTATGGAAAAAGCATTCCAGAAAAAGTCTATTTTAATAGAAAGAAACAATATTGTAGTATGGAGAAGAAATTACCTAAGGACTATAAAAGAAATGAGAAACCAAAGAAGAAATATATTTTATTTAGATGAAACATGGATCAACGAGGGACATAAACCAAATAAATTTTGGCAAGATGAAACTGTTACAAGTCGAAGACAGGCTTTTTTAAATAATTTATCTACTGGTTTAAATCCACCATCAGGAAAGGGGCGCAGACTAATAATAGTACACATCGGTAGTTCAAACGGTTTTGTTAAAGGCGGTTTATTGACTTTTGAATCTACTCGTACCGGTGACTACCATGAGGACATGAATGCTGATGTCTTTAAAGAGTGGTTCGAACAAATTATAGATCTTCTTCCTCAGAACTGTATAATAGTAATGGATAATGCAAGGTATCACTCGAGACTTATAGAAAAAATGCCCACAACCAAGTGGTTAAAAAAAGATTTACAGAATTGGCTAAATTCAAAGAATAATAAGTTCCATCCCGGTTCTGTGAGAAAAGAACTGTATCATTTGTGTTCCCTTCATAAAGAGAAATTTAAAAAATATGAAATTAATGAAATTGCAAAAAATCGTGAGATGACGGTGGTTAGATCACCACCATATCATTGCGAAGTAAACCCGATTGAACTGATATGGGCACAGATAAAGGAAGAAGTTTCAAGAAAAAATAATTTTTTAAATGAGTGATGTTAAAACAGTTGTTTTTGGAGTCTGTAAATAATGTGAAGCCTGAAAACTGGGAAAAGGCAGTAAATCATACGATTAAAGAAGAGAAAATGTGGAAGTTGGACAATATTACTAATTGTACTCATTGTAAATATTGGTTGCGACAGTTCATCTTCTGATTTGGATTTGTAGGTAAGAAGTAGTTTTTATATTAAAATTATTATTTGTGAACGTAACGTTGTTTAAAAGTCAAAGTTTAAACCCTTATACCTACATAACCCGTTTGACACAATGTTCTTAACATACCTTGTGGAAAAATAAAATATTTTAGAAAAAAATACACTTTTTTACCTTCAGCTGTTTAGAAGTTATAAGCAGGTTAATTAGGTGAAAATATAAGTGTATACTCGAGGAATAACTTCAAAAAACATTTTAACTGTCTACTAAAAGAAGTGGTACGCCTATGGATTACGAACGCTTTATTATTTTAATACTCTCTCATACATAAAAATAGACTATAATAAAAACCACTGTAACTCCCCGATCAAGTGGTTTCTCAGGATGACAGGGGAGACAAAATGAGCAAGCAAAACCAGATGGGTCCGACAAAACAATCGAACCCCACAACAAACGACAAGGGCAAATTTTCAAGAAGAAGGACGATTCACAAACGATAAACAAATGCAGCATACAGTGAGACTGTATCACAATGAATCGACAAGAGAATTTTTCGGCGAATCCCCGTATATTGTAATACTAAGGGTCAATGGTGTATGATCGATACAGGAGGTGCCTTTTCCTTGATTAAGTTTTTATAGCTGATCACTTGAATCTTAATACATTAGCCTCAACCATGTTGTGAATGTTGGGACGTTGCTAAATATAAGTGCAATAAAAATTGTGTTCTCGTGAAATTATACACTTTATTTTGAAAGTATAAGACTGTTAAAAAATCATTAGCGAATAAATATTTTTCTATTTGAATTAGCAGATGCTTTAATTTCGCAATATTTTCAAAACAATTAGGACTAAATTTTGGATTAATATAAAACTAACCCATTTTCATTTTTCATTACATATTAAGAAAATTAACATTTTTATAAAACTTTATTATTACACTTTACCTGGAAAGAATCCAATTTGTGTTTCAGGCATTGCAAAAAGTGTTCTTTCTGTAGCCACCCGGTATTTTCCATGTACTGATAAACCTACTCCACCTCCCATAACGATACCATCGATAATAGCGATGTATGGAATCTTATAGGAACCAATTAATCCGTTTGTAAAATATTCTTTCTTAAAGAATTCGTGTCCTAATTCTTTTCTTCCTTTCAAACCTGCCTCCACCACTGCTCTTACATCTCCCCCGGCACAGAAAGCTTTCTCTCCTGTACCCTTTTAAAAAAATATTATTTATGAAATGCTTAATCAAAAATATGTAGAACATTTTTAAATTATCAACCAGAAACAGGACAATTAGCTATTATGAGTTAATAAATGGTACGGATGATACAAATCTTGATGCAAGTACATTTTAAAAATCAAGAAATACCATTCAAACAGTAAAATACAGAAAAAGAAGACAACCGAGATGCCACATTGGTGTAGCAGAAGTAAATGATGCGGAAGAACTAAACAGTTTTGTAGGAAGGACTAAAGAAAAATGATTGTGGCTTTTTACTAAGCAATCATACAAATAGAATAAATATCCAGTGGCGTACCCACATTTAATTTATAAAATAAGAAAATGATGTAATAAGAAAAATGGCATTGAAATGCTCAGTGTGAGATTATTCATCAGTACTAATATGTTCACAAATATCCCTGAATATAATGTGGATTTTCCTGTGTCACTGAAAAATCAATGTTTCTGAAACCGATATGCGAAAACGATATTATAAAACACATAAATAGTTTAAAAAACAATAGTGCCCCAGGATTTGATTGTATAACAGTAAAACATCTGAAACTACTACATCCGTATTTACTGGAACCTTTAATGCATATAATTAATTGTATTTTTAATACAAGAATCGTACCTAAACAATTTAAAACTTCAATTATAACACCTATTTAAAATAGACCTTTCAATCAAAATTTTGGAGGAAATACAGGAATTTTTGAAATAAGTCACTTTAGACTATTGGAAAACGATAGATAAAAAAATTTTGTTCTTCAGGCACCGGCAAATGTCAAAAAACAAGAAAATAAAGTGTTTTTTTAAGGTTATTTAAAAACGGTAGGTGCTATAAAAAAAATTTTTTTATAAAAATTGTAAAGCATACAGTTTTACATAAAAATGATATTTGACATTTTTTGCTATTATTAAAACTGACAGAGTTAGTATGGTTAGAACATTGGACTTGGACTTGGAAAAATCATAGTTAGCTGAAAATTCAATGATTTTGTAGTTTCTTTTTATTATTTATTCAGAAAATTATAAATATCTTTTAAAAATTTTAATTTTAATTTAGAAATTTTCAATTAATTATACGAATTTATATGGTAAATTTTGAAGTAAACTTATTATGAAAAATATGAGGAATGAACTAATAAAAACGACATCGACAGTTTGGTCCCCCATTTAAATAAATAAAAACAAATAAAAAAGAACTAAATAAAAATATTAAAAAAAAAATTAAAAGAAAAATAAATATATAAATAAAATTAAACAAAAATAAATAAAAAATAATTAAAAAATGAACAAAAATTTTAATAAAAAAAATAATAAATAGTTAAAAAATTAAAAATAACAAATAATAAAAAATAAATAAAAATAAATGAAAAGATAAATGTAAAAGAAAATAAAATAAATAAAAATAAATAAACAAATAAATATAAATAATAAATAAAAACAAATAAAAAAAATAATTAAAAAATAAACAAAAAATTTAAATAAATGAATATAATAACAAATATTTAAAAAAAATTAAATAAAAATGGGTAAATTATTAAAAATAAAGCATAATAAAAAGTAAATAAAATTAAACAAAAAAAAATTAAAAGTTAAGTGTAAAAGAAAATAAATAAAAATAATTACAAAAAGTAATAAAAAAAATTAAATAAAAATAGATAATTTATTAAAAATAGAAATTAAACAAAAATAAATAAAAAGATAAATGTAATAGAGTGTCAACTAAAAATAAATAAAAACAAATAAAAATAAAAATAAATAAAAATAAATAAAAATAAATAAAAATAAATAAAAATAAATAAAAATAAATAAAAATAAATAAAAATAATAAATAAAAAAAATAAAAATAAATAAAAGTGTTTTCTTAATTGTTTTTTTGTTTATTTTAATTTATTTTTATTTTTTATTTATTTATTATTATTTATATTTATTTGTTTGTTTATATTTATTTTTATTTATTTTATTTATTTTTAGTTGACTTTCCTTTACATTTATCTTTTTATTTTTGTTTAATTTCTATTTTTAATAAATTACCTATTTTTATTTATTTTCTTTTACACTTTACTTATCATTTATTTTTGTTTAATTTTATTTATTTTTATTTATTTTTATTTATTTTTATTGTTCTATTTTTAATAATTTAAATATTTTTATTTAATTTTTTTAAATATTTGTTATTTTCATTTATTTAAATTTTTTATTTGTTTTAATTATTTTTTTATTTTAATTTTTTTTATTTCCTATTTTTATTTTTTATTTATTTTTATTTTCTTTTAGTTCTTTAGTCTTAATTATTTTTATTTATATTTATTTGTTTATTTATTTTTATTTATTTTTATTTATTTTATTTTCTTTTACAATTAACTTTTCATTTATTTATTTTATTTTCTTTTACAATTAACTTTTCATTTATTTATTTTATTTTCTTTTACTATAACTTTTCATTTATTTTTATTTATTTTTTATTATTTGTTTTTTTTTGTGTCATCGGCTTCAACTACCAGGGTTATTTCGCCTCGTGTTCTGTGTAAGGCTTTGTTACTGCTTCCCAGCGCTACTTTAGGAACAGCACTGTTAATTAGAACCCAACAGTGAATGGTCAAGTGGGGAATCCTGCCAAGGCATCAGAATTAATTTTAAATAATTAAATTAAATGAAAAAATTCCGGCCAACGGTGGGATTCGAACCTGGGACCCTTGGATCCACAGGCAGAGACTCTACCACTGAGCCACCCACCCCCTTATATTATTTGTTATTTTTAATTTTTTAACTATTTATATTTTTATTTTTTTATTTACTCTTATTTATTATTATTTATTTATTTTTATTTATTTTTATTTATTTTTATTTATTTTTATTTATTTTTATTTATTTTTATTTTTTTATTTACTCTTATTTATTATTATTTATTTATTTTTATTTATTTTTATTTATTTTTATTTATTTTAATTTAATTTATTTTTATTTATTTTTATTTATTTTTATTTATTTTTATTATTTTTATTTATTTTTATTTATTTTTATTTATTTTTATTTATTTTTATTTATTTTTGTTTATTTTTGTTTATTTTTGTTTATTTTTGTTTATTTTTATTTATTTTTATTTATTTTTATTTATTTTTATTTATTTTTATTTATTTTTATTTATTTTTATTTATTTTTATTTATTTTTATTTATTTTTATTTATTTTTATTTATTTTTATTTATTTTTATTTATTTTTATTTATTTTTATTTATTTTTATTTATTTTTATTTATTTTTATTTATTTTTATTTATTTTTATTTATTTTTATTTATTTTTATTTATTTTTATTTATTTTTATTTATTTTTATTTATTTTTATTTATTTTTATTTATTTTTATTTATTTTTATTTATTTTTATTTATTTTTATTTATTTTTATTTATTTTTATTTATTTTTATTTATTTTTATTTATTTTTATTTATTTTTATTTATTTTTATTTATTTTTATTTATTTTTATTTATTTTTATTTATTTTTATTTATTTTTATTTATTTTTGTTTATTTTTATTTATTTTTATTTATTTTTATTTATTTTTATTTATTTTTATTTATTTTTATTTATTTTTATTTATTTTTATTTATTTTTATTTATTTTTATTTATTTTTATTTATTTTTATTTATTTTTATTTATTTTTATTTATTTTTATTTATTTTTATTTATTTTTATTTATTTTTATTTATTTTTATTTATTTTTATTTATTTTTATTTATTTTTATTTATTTTTATTTATTTTTATTTATTTTTATTATTTTTATTTATTTTTATTTATATTTTATTTATTTTTATTTACTTATTTTATATATTTTTTTATTTTATCTATTAATTTTTTATTATATTTATTTTGTTTTTTTTTAATATTTTTATTTAGTTCTTTTTTGTTTGTTTTTATGTTTATTTATTTAATGGAACTTTAAGTGGGGACCAAACTGTTGGGATGTCATTTTTATTAGTTCACTCCTCATATTTTTCATGTCAATCAAGTTAATAAGTTTACTTCAAAATTTATTTTACCATATAAATTTGTATAATATATTGAAAATTTCTAAATTAAAATTGTTATAACTCAAAAAAACAAAAAAAAATAATTTTCCTAAAATAAATTTATAATTTTTCTGAGTAAATAATAAAAAGAAACTACAAAATCATTGAATTTTCAGTCATATATTTCTTTCTAATTTCTATCCACCCTAATTTTCAGCTCACTATGATTTTTCCAAGTCCAATATTCTAACCATCCTAACTCTGTCAGTTTTAATAATAGCAAAAAATGTCAAATATTATTTTTATGTAAAACTTTATGCTTTACAATTTTTATAGAATACTTTTTTTCATACCACCTACCGTTTTTAAATAACTTTGAAAAAAACACTTTATTTTCTTGTTTTTTGTCATTTGGTGGTGCCTGAAGAACAACATTTTTTTACCTATCGTTTTCAAATACTCTAAAGTGACTTATATCAAAAATTCCTGTATTTCCTCCAAAATTTTGATTCAAAGGTCTATTTGATTGGACTATTAGTTTAATTAGAAATGTGGCCAAAATATTTGAGAAATGTGTGAAAGATAGACTGACACATTTTTTAAAAACTAATGACATACTTCCCAAGCACCAATATGGCTTTACTGAAGGTCTTAACTCAGGAGATGTTATGCATGAATTGATTTTTGATTTCATATATTACTGATGAAATGAATACTGGTAACAAGAGTATAGCTATATTTTTAGATCTAACAAAAGCATTTGACACGGTGCCACATGGAGTGAGGGGCATCCTGTTAAAGGTTTTTGAAAATTATTTGACACACAGACAACAGAAGATAAAGGTTAGAGACAATGTGAGTAACCCTGAAAATATACAAATCGGAGTGCCTCAAGGGACTGTTCTGGGGCCTATACTATTTAATTTATACATTAAGAGCTTAACTCAGATTGATATTCAAGGTAAAGTTATATCATATGCTGATGATACAGTGCTAGTCTTCAATGATAAAGATTGGGAAGCCAACAAGACACATGCTATAGCTGGAATGGAACATGTCAAAAACTGTCTGGATGTGTTTAAATTGTCTTTGAATGTTAACAAAACAAACTACATTGCTTTTTCAAAAATAGTAGCTGATCGACTTCAATTTAGAAGCTTAACATGTCAAAATTTAGACATACAGGAAACAGAAACATCCAAATATTTAGGTATAATTATAGACCAGTACTTAAAATGGGACTGCCATAAGTATAATATATACAGCAAAAAACTTAGATTTCTAATTTATAAATTTTATCTTCTAAAACAATTTCTCATCCAGGATCTACTAATTAAATCAATTAAATGTTATTCAAAACAAAATCTTAAAGTTAATATATAAAAGAGATAGATTGTGTCCCACCATAACTTTATATAATGAAAAAATTAGCAATGTTAGATGTTTATATATTCACGCAGTATGTTGTTATATAAAAAAAACATGAATTTTTAAAAAAACCCTTTAGAACATAGACATAACACTAGAACTGCATCGAACATGTGCATTAAAGTACCAAAACCAAATAATGAGTTTTTTAAAAACAGTGTAAATTATCTAGGAACAAAGTTCTATAACGCTCTACCTCTTCATATAAAATTATTAAAAACAAACATAAAAAATTCTGTAAAATTAGCAAAATATACATTTTCCAAAATAATGCAAAGTTTATCAGAAATATTCCAAGAATAACGACTTAATACATGGATTTTTTTTAAATATTTTTTTTTCTGTTTCTTGCATAAATTTCTCAAGTTTTTTTTTATTTCCTTTATAATTTATTAAATATAATTAAAATAAAAGGGTAATTAATGCACAAAATTCAACAAAAGAATGTTAGAGAATTGTAAATGAAGCAAAAGGAAAATCAGTAAAAAAATTACCCATCGAGAGGCTAAATTGTTAAGGCAACAAAATTTCTGATGTACAAAATATATGTAATGCTTTTAATAATCAGAAATGAAGGGAGAAGGTATTTAAAGTGTGTAATTATTGTTTGCAATACAATAAACTCTATCATTACTAAAACATAGAACAAAAAACTTTGTACACTTACTCCTCAAAAAACAGAAGAAACATCAAGAAACTAAATAATTTCAACTAAACAAAATTTGCACTCTGCAGGGTGTGCGAACAAGAATATTGCCCAGGCCTCTCGTTTATTAGAATGGATAGTTTTCATACACTCAAAATTAATTAAGCCTAAATGTAAGAACAAATAAGATTTGTCCTTTCACATATTGTAAAAAGTACTAAAAGTTATTTGAACAGACAACCTTGTAAAAAATACGTCAATTAAGTGATAAAAAAATCATTACCTTAACAATTACTAATGCTTTTTTTGATTCCCAGTTTTTTAAAGTAGGATGAATTTTTTCAATCATAGAAAGATTTAGTGCATTTAAAGCTTTTGGTCTATTTAATACAATGATTCCTTTATCTTTGACGTCTTTAATTATGACATCCTCTACTTCTGTTGACATTTTTCTTTTCGATGTAGAAATAACCATGTACTTTACGCTTTTTATGACAAACGAGGTAGTATTTTGCCTTATCATTGTACCTAAAAAAAAATAGATTAGATCAAGAGAAACGTTTTTTAATGCTAAATTTCGATTATTGATGAACAATCTAATTAATCTGAACTCTGACTTTTCTAAATTGCTTAATTCATGATAAAAATTGAAGGATTTGTTTGGGAAATCGGAGTGGAAATTGGGAAATTTTATAACTTGAATCACAGAACACTCACTTTAAAAAAATATTTGTCACCTATCACACTTCACATCAGGAGTGCGTTTAGAAACCACGCACGGCGCGTCTGGACCCTATTCTAATGTATGTGGTCAGACGCGCCGTGCGAGGTTTCTAAACGCACTCCAGTCTTCACACTACACATTTGACATTTGATCATGGCCTTACTCCAGAAATACAAGTACAACAAACGGTACACATAACAGTGCGGTACCGTATAGAAGGGGTAATATAGTGGTAATTAAAATAAACTGCCCAGATGAAAGTGGATGGACGACATGAATTATTAAGTTATTATATGAATTTCGGACTACATTTCTTTATGAAATAAAAAACAAATGGAAAAATCCGCAAAACGGTCAAACGGGTTATTTTTTTTAAACTATTTCAGACCTTCTGAAACACATTTCAAAATTTTTTGCCCTACAAACGCTATAAAATATTTTTTCTTGTTATAGAAACTGCTAAATAATAATACTAGACCATCTATAATGCAAGAAACCATCCAAATTTTTCGTAAACAGTTTATTTTCTTAATTTACGACCAGGGCACCTATCCTCGACTAGTGCGTTTAAGTACTCGCTTTGAAGGGATGCAAGCCCAGATAGCACACCAAATCCTTTGGATATCTACTGGACATTCCAATAGCCACTGAATGTCCAGTCCATGTTGGATATCTATTTTATATCCATGAGATGTAATTTATAGACATGCAAATGTCCATAAATAATAGTAATTATATAGCAAATTATTAAAAAATTACGCCATTGTGCTCGCCATTGTGGCTAATAGTACCGTTCAGATATAAAAAATTAATTTTTTTAAGGTGTATTCAATATCCCATGGACATCCACTAAATATATCAAAGTCTAGGCGCGAACGCAAACCATCGTGGATATCCACTAGATGTAATTTTTGATTTTGCTTACTAAGTATAGATGGCGATACCACTTTCGCATCTACTCATGCTCAACCCGCCGTAATTGATTTCGATCGAAATTTGTATCACAATTAGACTCCAGTGTCTTATTAAGAATGGGACACAGAAAAACTGAAGAGTTACCTATAATTTTACCAAAGTTGGCAAAAGTTTTTGGTGTCATAAGATACGTTACACTTATTTGAACTATGATTATATTTTTTTTGATATTTTTTAAGTAAATCATATAGGTACTTTTGTTGGGAACTTATAAGAAACTTCAAAATTAAAATGAAGAATATTCGTATTCTAAGCATAGTCTTATTTTTAATCAGACTCTTCAGTTGTTCTGTATCCCTTTCTCAATGAGACACCTTGTATATAAACTTCCCACTTGAACAATTTTATATTTTTCAAGTATGTACAATACAGGTGTATCAGAAATTAAAGCAAAAAGACAACTTATAACAAAGGTTTAAATTTAATAATGTCAAGTCATCCTTGCACCCTAAAAAAGTACCAATGAAGAAATTATTCCTCCAATGCAACCAAACAGTTATTTTTAGGATATGATTTTGTGTCAAATGTTATCCACAGCCACAGGGTTTCTTTTTAAATGGCATGACATTCAAAATTTTGGTCAAAACAATTTTCATCATGCACTTTTCTTGGAAACTTTTTCACTATAACACTAACATTACTGATCAGAAAAAGTGGTTAAAGTTTTCTTTTTGTAATCACAAATCGCAACTGAATGCCTATTTTTAAAATAAATTATCTCTATAATTCCATTTGTATAGTTGTATGCTGTGCATCTGTGAGATTGTTGTTTATTATACATAGGTACCAATTATAGAAATCTTTAGTAAGTACTTGCTTGCAATTTTAGTAATATATGTACCTACCCTATATAATTAATTATTTCAAACATAAATAAAACCAACAACTATTATCTGAGTCTTTTTAGTTCCGATTGGTTTTGACAGAGTAGTTTTGATCATGGTTTTCTTCCATCTACTTTTAACCATAAAGTCATACCTAGCTGAATTTTTGGTCTTTTTAAACTTTTGACTGTAGCCGGTCATATTTTTAATGTATGTCATTTGCAGCAGAAAGACCTACACGTTTTACATTTAAAAGTAATTAATTGTCCTTTCTACAAACTCGGCTGTATTTTTACTGAAATATATTTATTCACAATTCACGTAGTGGTTTGGTTTTTGATTTGGTAATTTGATGTCATAATTCTCCTCATTGTCAGATTTTGACATTGGCAGCTTTGATCAAGACAAGAGAGTCCTTGAACGAAAAATTGTAGTTCGGGTTTTAGTATTAAAGCACAAAGAGATTAACAAATCTGATGCACAGTGTTATTCGAACGTTGATTTTCGATCACACAGGTCATATATCGGACGGTTTCGGCGAAGACAGAACAATATAATAATATTAATCTCTTTTATGGTCTTGGCATTGGCTTGGTCGGAAAACGGTTAATAAATAATAGTAAATAGTGTAGAAGTCATAATTGCGCAATGTCATCAAATTAATTTCGAATCGATCATGTTGAAACAAATCTTAGGTAAGTAAGTCATTTAAAAGTTGTAATTCTGCATACAGACTTTAATTATATTTGAATACGACCCTGCTTAGTCAACCATTTAAGCCACGCCCGTGGGGTCATTTTTAATAAAACGTATCATATGCAAAACAATTGCCTCATGGCATCTCCATTAGTATTATACCTCCATGTTGCTAGTAAGGGGAATCAAAGTTCATACCGCTTGTTTTGTGACAATTATTCGTAAAAAAGAAGCAACATTAATGAGTAATGGTTTTGAGCATGAAGTCGTGGTTTTGGGTTGTTTTTTGATGTACTGTTTGGCTATACATAGTTTGCAGCGTTATAAAATGGAAAATATTAGTAAAAAGACACATACAGGGTGTTTCAGATTTAAACGGACACAGCTTAATGGGAGGTATAGGGTGTTTTATGATTTTTCGCCAAAACTAAAATCGGACATTTTGTTTGAACGGCTAGAGTTATTTTGATCAAATTTTGTACAAAAGTTACACTCTCTTAGGTCAATCAAACCCATAATTTAATTTTAAAAAATTCCAGGACTGGACTCTTTTTTTATATTGCTCTTCTTAGCCAGAATATCACCCTGTATATCGGATTTTAATAAATATTACTGCACATTTAAATAGTACGTGGATCAACAAATAAAATAATGTAATAATATTTAATGGCACCATCTTGATGTTCTTACAATAAATTTTTATAATGGCGACTACATTATTATAAATCAGTATTTACAAAATTAAAATCAAATATTTTACTCTGTACTTTTAAAACTCTACACAAATTAGGTACCATCTTCATTTTTTTTAACTACAGCATTTTCTATTAGGAAATTGAACATCTACACAGGACCGGGCTCACTTTATTTAATAAAGTAATAGAACAAACTAACAGAAACAAATAATTAATTAAAGCTAAAGTAGATTTTCAAAATGAACACCGTGAACGTCAATACAATTCTGCGAACGTTTTAAAAGGTTTTTCACTGATTTGTCAATTATTTTCGGTTTATTTCTAATGCTGTTACATATATTGTTAATTTTTTTCCAATAACTGTGTTCGGGTACACCTCTGATTTAAAGTAGTCCCATAAAAAATAATCCAGAGGTGTGCCTCAACCTATCCATCTATTTGGGAAACGATGATTTAACTGTGCTTGGGTATTAAGTGATTTTTAAAAAAATTCCACATCAAACATTTAATGTGTATTCAAGTCGCTGGATAGGTCGAGGCGGTCCCGCTATTTGGCCACCAAGATCTCCAGATCTAACACCTCTGCATCTAATACCCGAGCACAGTTATGAGAAGTCGTTGCTTCGTTTTCTTGTTGCATATTTATGGACCGGTATGCGCAATCACAATTTTCCATTAACTACTAATTTTATCACAATCCGGCAACGTTGCAATTATATTTTCCAAATTTGACAGAAACCATCGAGTTTCGATGTTTACAGTCGTCAAAATGCTGATTTTTATAGAAATTAAATAAATTTGTTTGGCTTAAATAATGTATTTACCGCAAATTTATACGCTCTTTCCGATAAAAAATAATTTTCTTTAAAATTCCACTGTTCATAAAGTCGATGGAACCCATTTTGGGTATTATTTATATCAAAAAATAAATAAAACCCTAGTACAGTTGTTACGCCCATGGATAATATCTACTATTTACAATTCATGAAATTGACACATATGTCAAAGTCAGAACTTTAAAACCAAAAAACCCTAAAACAATAACCTAAAATAAATAATCCACTGACACAAAAATAACACAAATAAACTTACACCAGTTTGTTTTGTTTTTAATAAATTAGAAAAGTGAAAAGTTTTGATATTATTGATTTAGATATATTGGTTGAAAACTGATGCCAAATTATATGCTCATTACAGAATCTATTAAAATGTAAGTACCTATAACCCATCTTATAAATTTGCAATATTTTTGTGGATACTATATTGTGACCATCTAATCAACTAAATAAACGAATTAATAATAAATTTCAGCATTTTAGGTCAGAAAGAGTTTCTTAAGGCACACATGCTGTATGATTTGTTGAGTAGGGATGATAATAATCTCAATTTGTTGGCAATTTAGATTTATCTTATAATAAATATATTGTGCTTATAATGTCAAGACACACAGCTGGATTTTTCTTGTATATGTTGGAACTGTCCTTCAAAAACCAGCGATGGTCTTAGCTTCTTTACTATACCAAAAGATCATAGGAGGTATGTAGAAATATAAATGCTCCGAATACTGTATCATTACTTTTATTGTACATAATTTAGAAGTTTTCACTACTGGTTTTAAACATATCTTTTTATTTGTTGTAGAGCTGAATTTTGGTTGAAACAGTGCAATCGACAAGATTTGATCAAAAAAGATATCAAAGCATTGCTTAAAAATTATAGAATATGTGAACTTCATTTTGATAAAAAATATGTATCGAAGAGTGGTTTACGAAAAACTTTATTCCAAAGAGCTTATCCTTCAATTTTTTTCCACTTAAAAAGTTCCACTCAGTTTGATTCTATTGAAGAAACGACAAAAAGATTGCCAATTTCAGAAAGTGAGTATTTTTATCATGGTTTTAGTTTGAATGGAATGTTATTACTTTAATTATGAAAAATTGTTTTTAAAATTTTAATGCTAACTTAAGTTAGCATTACCATTTCTTGCAAAAAAGTTTCTGGATGTTAAAATTAATTATGTCTACTGTCACATTGTCAATGGCATGTATATATAAATCGTTTATTTAGTCAAAAAAACTATGTTTTACAAGTCAATACATCTTCACATTTAAAATATAAAAAATACATAAGAATTGAATCAACATACATTTAAAATACAATAAAAAATGCATACAATAATAAAAGAACAAGAAAAAAAAAAGTCAATTGGTCAGCAGGTATTCACACAGTTTTTCTTTTAAATATTGCTGCATTTGAAGAACATTTAATATCTTTAATGCTAATTACTGTGATTACTTGTACGGGCCCTGTCTCTCTGTACATGATTCCAATAGAATACAAAAACTTCAAAATTCTTGCCTAAGGCTCATTTAAAGAATTTCTCATACCCCAAAATTAGCTAAGTGGTTAAATATGACAAATCGCAGAAAAATTCATGCATTTCACAAAACAATAATGAAAAAATGTCCACCATACCTTTATAATAAAATTATCTTCTGCACAGATATTCATAACAAGCATACTCGAAAGAAAAATGAAATTGATGTACCAAAACACAATACACAGCAGTTTAATAACAGTTACTCATATCAGATATTGAGAGAATATAACAATGTTACAGATTCCCTAAAAAACATTTCTATTAACTCTTTCAAGAGGCATCTATTTGTGAATATTTTCAATGACCAATGCAGAAATTTTGGAATTCAGTAATTTAATTTAGGAATTTAAGAATTTAGAATTATAATAATTCAAAAACATTTAAAATTTAAGAATTTAGAAATTTAAGAATGTAGAAATTAATTAATGTATACAAATTTAAATTTATAAACAAATTTTGATAGCAAAGCTAAAACCTTTATATGAATAACTAAAAAAAATTTTTTCAATCATTATCTTTGTTATCTACGTGCCTAGATATCTATGCTCTTAAGACCACAGTACCACCCCCAATATTCGTAACATGAACTAATTTTGATAGATGTCATTTATGTGTCATAAATTAAGAATCCTTTTGTTCAGCAGATGGAGCAATATTCCATATTTAATAGTTCTTTTGTTCAACAGATGGCGTAATAATTTTATTTATTTTAAACGGTAACTGTTATAAAATAACAAATTCATCACACCTAGCTACTACGCGATAATAAGTAAACGAGTTCTTGACCCTGATAATATTTTCGATGTACAGGTATAAAAATAAAAGTTTGGGAATAAATTCGATACATCGGTATATTTACTTAGGACCGATTCCACCGTTGTGTTAAACGGAGTTTAAAATGATATTTTTACATTAACAATGTCATTTTAATTTAATTTAATCTCATTTATATGTAAGTTGGCGGCATCGGCATACGGAAAACGTTTTTAAGAATTTTAAGAAAAAAACTTATTTTTCATAAACAATTGCATGGTCTATTAATTTTAGAAAAAAAGTTACTTTACATAAAAAAGTTATGCATGGTCTAAAACCTAAAATTCAATCATCTGATAACAAATTTTATCAGTCGTATACAGTGTTTGTAGAAAATAAAGGTATTTTATATTGAGCAAAATTATATTTTTTGACAAACCTTGTAAAACCGACTGATAAAATTTGATATCGGGTGGTTGCATTTTCTGTTAGACCATGCATACATTTTTATGAAGAATTACTTTTTTTCGTAAAATGAATACCTAATAAAAAAGTTTTCTATTTGCTATCAACTTACATAGACATATGTGTGTATGCAACTTATGACATATTGCTGAGCTAATGTTTTTGTAAGAAAAAAGAAATTAATCATAAAATTTTACTTCATTTGTAGAGTCGTAATTTATATTTTCATATTTGTACTTTTTTTATCAATTTAGAATTACAGTACTATTTTCAATTATTATTTTAGATTAATCAATAAGAAAAATAAGAATTTTTGAAATATTAATAACTAAATACAAATTAAACAACAAATGAATAAAAAAGCATTTAAAACACGTTGACTGCCGAAGCAAATGTTGTGGTCGGGTCAGCTGAGCCGAAGTAGTTTTTCTAAAAATTTAAGTCTGTTTTTACGTTTTAAGAACAAAGTAGTTTAAGTAAATACTCAAGTAAACTACAATATCTAATAGAAGCGTGAATAAAATATATAAATGCGGCGCGGGATTAAATTATTACATTGTTCAATATTTTAATTTGTGTTGTAGACACGTAAACAATTTCTAAATAAAAGTTATATGAATTTCAAAAATAGGTATTTTAAAGATATTTTTAGATATATAGGGTTTTGCGTTTTTGTCTGACAAATAAAACGGTATATTTTTTAAGTAGAAAACCCTGTATTTTACTTCAGTTTTAGAATGCTTTAGTAATACTATATTTAACCCTAGAATTTTATTAACAAATATTGCAGGGTTGCCAATAAATTAATTTTTTTATGAAATTAGAGAATGATTCAGACCCCAAATTAAATTATCATTATTTAGGTAGGTTTAAAATAATTTCAAATTTTTTTAAAATGTAGAGTAATAAGATACTAAGCTAACGAATAGTGATAATATAACTGGATTATTTTTATACAGTGTGTTTTGAAAAACAAGTCTTAAATATGGCTAATTCCATGTTAAATTTATTTAATTTTTTTCAAATGCCACACCCTGTATATTATTTAAGCATAAAATTCCTTATAAATTAACATATCCAACGATACCAATAAGTTAGTCAATAACACATATACAGGGTGTCCCATTAATGCGTAATTGATCGATAGCAGTTTTATAATAGAAAATACGAAAAAAATTAATATAAAAGTTGTATGACCATATTTAACAATTATTTATAAATATACAGGGTAATCCATAAACGATTGTCTGACCAAACCTATACATTTTTAAAGCAAAACACCCTGCAGGTAGTTATACATATTTGACTGTTTTCACATCGTCGAACAATAATTTCAATTTTATTCATTTGCTATGTTGTATACAGGGTTTGTCAAAATGGTCACGATTTTCTCAATTTTAGAATGGAACACCCTGTATGTTATGCCACCAATTAATATAATATTCCATTGAAAAAAATTTAAACATTTGTAACTTCGCGTGTTGACACACCCTATATATAACATAGCAAATGAATGAAGTCAATTAAAATTATTTGACGACGTGAAAACAATCAAATATGTATAACTACCTGCAGGGTATTTTGATTTAAAAATGTATAGGTTTGGTCAACATCTCGTTTATGGACCACCCTGTATATATAGGAATAATTTTTAAATATGGTCATACAACTTTTATATTAATTTGTTTCTTATTTCCAATAATAAAACAGCTATCGATCAATTACGCACTGATGGGACACTCTGTATATATGTTATTATCTAACATGTTAGTATCGTTGGATATGCAAATTTATAAGGAACTATATGCTAAAATATTATATCGGATGCTGCCTTTGAAAAAATAGAGTAATTTGACTTAAAAGTAACCATATTTAAGACACATGTTTCAAAACACTCGCTATAAAAGAATCCAGCACTATCACTAGTATTCGTTATCTTAATGTGCTATAAGTCAGTGTATTAAACAATTTTGAAATCAATGTAATCCTACCTAAATTATGATCATTTAATTTGGGGTCTGCATGATTCTCTAATTTTATAAAAATTTTAATTGCTTGGTAGACCTGTAATACAGTATTACCAAACCATTCTAAAATTGAAATAAAATACATGTTCTATTTTAAAAATATGCCAAGCAAAAATGTAACACCCTGTATATATCCAAAAAATATTTTTAAAATATGTATTTTTTAAATCCATATAACTTTTCTTTGAAACATGTTTGCGTGTCTTTAACATAAATTAAAATATTGAACAATTACGCACTAATGGGACATACACACGGGTACATACACATAGCAGTCAACGTGTTAACTCAGAAATAAGATTCCTAATTATAAAGATAAAATAACATTCGGAAGAAGAAAGCAAAGACCGCCAATATTACGTGCGTATCATACAATGATGACAGGTCATTCGAATTTAATTTACACCGGAATGTAATAAAGTTCCTTCCCTTTCCTGCATTTCACAATTGTATATTTCACCCACTTTAAAATCAAATTCGTCCTAGAAAGAATTGTGAAATTATCGTATAAATCGATAATCTGGCAACGTGGGTCAACACTTGTTCATACACAGGCAAAATCAATCGATAATTTGGAACCAAACGAGACAAATATATATGAAAATCACGAAACAATAAAAGACGGCATACACCTGTATCACTGTTTCAAAAATTGGTACCTCTAAACCAGTGCTTCCGCAACCTTTCCTCATCTGAGGCACACCAAACTGCTCCCTAGAATTTCGTGGCACACCAAAATCTAAAATATATTTATAGCAGTGGCGTAGCTAGGTCGGGGGTCAGTTCACTCCATGTATACTAATTATTTATGGATGTCCAAACTACCTTAGTTTTTTTTATTGTTTTAAAATGTGAAGAAGCCCCTTTCAGATTTGGGGCATCAAAATTTTCACTCAGGACATAATACATATTTTTTTTTTATTTTTTTTTATTATTCAGATAGAATGAAAAATACAAATAGGTACATACATGAGAACTATACTAAATACTAGGTAGGACAGGTAGGTATACTAAATTTACTTCTGTTGACACGTCAATAGTAATAAATATTTTGACATGATGATGACTGATTAATGTGATACCTGCGCTTGCTTCGTTGAACACAAAAGTTTTATATTCGGCTCAATTTTAGACAGCGCAACTCTCATTTCTTGGTCAAGATCTTTTAAGCATGACCGTTTATCATTTTTAATTAATACAAGCGTTGAAAAACTTTGCTTACATAAATATGTTGTGGAAAACGGAAGTAGTG